CAACGCCTGCAAGACCAGACGAAGATGCCACAGGGTCCCCGGATAAGCGCACGTAAAACAAGCTTTTTGAAGTGACAGATGTAGAGCGAATTTGTAGTACTTCGCTAGAGTCTTGAATACGGGTCTCGGATAGACAACAAACATCAATATTAAGACTTTCCAAAGACATAGCCAGCCCTATCTGTTGTCCGACCTGCATAAATGTGCGAACGTTGAAGGCAGCCAGTTTGAATGGTGCACGTGGTTTCAGAAAAACTGCTTCAGTCCTCGTATTCGGTGGTAACATACAATTTTCAATCGGACAGTGACTCGAGAACGTTTGGATGGGACCGAGTTTCTACCATTAGCGAGCTGCTGTATAATTTAAAAGTTAAGGATGTGCAGGCTAGAATGGAAAAATGTACCAGGGCATTTAGGGGTGTACATTGACAGTAATATGATCCCTAGGAAGTTCTCATACTTACTAGAATCGTCGGCAACTTAGTGAAATATTTAGTCGGTAATACTTGTCATGCCTTCCAAATTATTTTTAAGAGATCGAGGGCAATCTTCTCATCTAACACAATTTTTGACTAATGCTGTCTGGTCCTGCTGCTTTTTCATTCCCTACTTTTCGGATGGCCTTGCTTATTCCGGTTTAGGCACTAAAGACCTGCAGGGAGTTTTTTTGTTTCCTATGTCTTGTGGATCAGTCTTCACTAGAGCTATCCATATTTGTCTTGAATCTCGGTGGTCGGTTAACCATGTTTGTTATTGGCTATCTACTTTGGTTTATGATATTTCCCTGCTAGCTTGATGGTTTTATCGTGTGGCTGTATCGTATTTCCTTCTTTTGCAGGTCTTTTGTAGGTCTTTTACATATTTCTGCTTACCAGTTCTAATGCTTCTCTACACTCGTTTGTTTGCGTCTGCTTATTTGGTCTCTGCCTCGACTTCCTCTGCTGTTGTTGTTTGGTGTCTTCTTGTTCCTCTTTTCTTAATTCTTGCACAAGTTGTTAAAGGAGAAGTAATTTTTATGCTGGTGCTCCTTGCGGCTCAGCACCCCTTTACATATTGAAGCTGTTGCTTCTTTAATCCTTCCCCATTCGTTATCGATAGTAGTCTCTTCTCCTCTTAAGAGTAATAAGACTTGGAATTTGTTGCTGAGAGCTATCTGTAATTCATTGAGTTTGCTAGTTTATCGAAGAAAGGTCACATTGAGATACTTTGTTACCATCTGTCTAGTTTTCCAGTCTTCTTTTTGCCTCATTATCAGCTTTGTCACCACCACGTGGTGAACTGAAACTATATCACCTACTCTCTCAGTTGTTACACTTTCAAAATTTGGTTGATCTGGTTCGCTATAGTGTGATCCGATGAAACCCATGTAGTTTTGTTTATGCGTTCTTGAGGGAATTTGGTGCCACATTATACTACGTCGTTTGAAGCACATAGATCTACCAGTCTGTAATTATTCAACCTTTTCTCTCTCAGTTCATGTCTCCTCATGATGTCTCTGTAGATTACTAATGTATGTAACCTATATCTTTGATTGTGGCGTACATGGATTTGACGGATATGATGTGGCTCAGCTTACGTCAAAATTATGCCTCCGCCTAACACTTAGTCTGGCTTATTCTAGGGTGATTCTGTAGTGGCATTGGACAATAACCACACAATCCAAAAAGCTCAACACGAGACTACTCAGAAAATAGATATTCAATATTTAACGTGGGGAAATATCTAACGATGGAGAATGTGCGAACAAGGAATTGAATGAATCGGAGTTAATCGAATGGCATGGCTCGGCCATGCAGGCGTGGTCCCTGCTGAATATTACCTTATATCTTTTGTTCATACTAAATACATTGTTCTTTCTCTAGCCCAAGCTTGTTCTCCATCATGTATTGGTGGTTGTTACGATACAGTGAGTTGGTGTAGACGATGATATGACGTCCACGTAAGATCTTATAGATTAGGCAGTTATATCATGACAAATCTACAATTTTAGGATTAGGTCTATTATTAGAACAGTACTAACATCATAGTAGACCATAATTCTACAATTCCATGTTGGTGGATTTATTTGCTGACTGACAGGAACAAATTATATGACTACCAAAAAAAGTATTGATAAGAGCACATTGTAGGTGTGCGGTAAGAAACCACAGCCATATGCGTCTGGCATGGTGTGCAATGATTTACTTAGCGGCAGTCATCCTTGACGCTGACTATGTTTAAAATATCGCCCAGCGTTCGGTAATCCGCTGTGAAAAGTAGGAAAAATTCAGCTTGCATCAAATGAGCTTCATTTATTTTAAATGAGACCAGATTGTACTTTGTCATCTTTGTTATTTGAATAGCCCACCTGGTCTCCAACAATGTCTATTATTGGCCCTTCGCTCCGATTGTCAAAAAGAGTACTGACCTCAGTCACCTCTTATTATGGAGCATCAACTCTCATGCCTGAAAAACCTTTAACTCCCAGAGAATAGTTAAAATGATTTAAGTAATTTTTCTGCTAGTTATTCTTTGCATATGTGGACTTTACCAGAAGGTTTTGTAAGCCCTACACTCAACTCGTACACTTAATTCGGGTTTGGGACTGACCATAACGTAATAGGGTTCCAGAAGCAGCTTTCTTATGAATCGCTATTCATCAGTGAAGCAATGAGGTACGGAAAGTTAAGCAGAACGTTTATGCGTTCTTCATTATTATATCGAAGAAAGAAGTAAATAATTCATTTTCCTGATTCACCTGCAATAAACGAAACCGAAAAAAATCTAGTTCATAAAAGGGAAGTCATGTAAGCAGTGTCAATATATTTAAATGTTGTAAAATCCGAGAAATACATTCCATACTTTGCATGCAGAATCCAGAGAATATTCTCTGCTCTGTTTTCTCCTGACATATATAAAAATACACTACGATTTCTAGCAAAATGGATATGATAACATTTCATTGCATTTAACTTTTGACTAATTAAGCCCAGTCGACGTTTCTCAAGTTTCCCGTAACGCGCATGTAATGGACTTTGTCAGTTCACGGTTCAATAATAAGAAGTGAATGCTTTCACAAATTATGATATTAGATTATTGATGCATTTATCGCATATGAAGTTCGATTTAAACTCATTTTCAAAACTTCGGGGTCTTGCAAAGTACTTTGCACACGTTTCTCACGCCAGATATCACTAGTCGAGGTTTTTTTGGTCTGTATCTAAATATTCACGTCCACAACCTTACCATTAATCCTTTGGTCAAAACGTACTGGTTTGCATTCCCTCCATGTGTCGATAGGGAAATTCATAAGCAACTGAGGTATGTGGAGCTACTTCTAGGAGTTGTTTCCATCAATGAATCATGAATGATTTAGAGATGAACATAGAAAAATCCGAAATATTTGCAATATGGCCATAGTTAGAAGCCGCTTCACATATGAAAAAAAGTTAGCATACAATAGATGCACCTACCCAAATGTATTGCTTTCGTACATTGGATTATAAACTGAACGCACTGATTGAAGTCTTCCATTATTATTGCACGAAAATTCAGATATTTTAGCTGAATTACATCTCTTTAAAGACTTCTTCAGTTTATTTCAGTGAAATATACCCTATGCATGTTGTTAACAACGTTTCTGGTAACCGAATTACTGACACTAGCTATAGGAACTGTACATGTGACTGAAGAGTCCTAATCCATTTACTTATTAACTTCAGACATGAAAAATCATCGAGTCCTTATGGCTTACATTCACGACTGCTGACATCCCTCACGAACTTGATTTCAAGTCGACTCACGATGATTTTCGACATGTCCGTTTCCGAAACTCAACACCTTGGTGTTGGAAGGATGCAAAAGTTGGCCGTCTATCCGTTTCTCCGTCAATATGATATTCATGGATTTTGGCAAAACATTTGACAAATGTACTCTCTGAAGAATTATGCAGAAGCGTTTGAGCCTTAGAATAACACGTACAATACAAGAGCTGATAAGGAACTCCTTGACAGAAGACAAAGTGTGGGGTAGTGGAAGATTACTTGAACGGAAGCCATTCAAAAGCGATGTGCCACACCTCACCATCTTAGGTCTACTAAGGTTTCTCCTCTATGTCAGTGAACTACCGAGAACTCTCAAGTCGTCAACAGTGTTGTTTGCAGACGACGTCAAAATCCAGAGAACAATAAATAGTGAGGATGGTCATCCTCATCTTCAAGCTGACATAAACGAGTTATTTCGACGGTGAGAAAGTTACGGCTTAGAACTTAATTATAAAAAGAGGATGCCAATACATACCAGGCACATCTGTAGTTGTTAGTGTACTATCAACCGTACATAATTTCCACGCTGGCAGGAGTAAAAAGACCTAAGAGTTGCAGTATGCCATGACTTGAAAATAAGTGTACATTATGACGCAGCTGTTGCCATGGGTTTGGGGGTGTTGTGGTCACTTCAGCGAGCATTCAAATAGGTTGGTGAAGAAATGTTTCGGGTTCCATAACACACCATTTTGAGACCACAACTTCAGTGTTGAACCCAAGTGGCTGGTCCATGTCTTGCTAAAGATGCTACACGTTCGAGCGTATTTGGCTTGTATGAACCAGGTCATTGGAGGGTCTTTCCAAACTCCCCCATGATGGGCACATGAAACGCATAAAACTTTTCCGCTTATATTAGAACACATGGTGAATCAGTATTGGTCCTACCTTTCTGCTATCTATCCGAAGTCATGGCAAGAAGGTTCAAAAACCGCCATTGAACGTACTCAGAGGGGGATCCCGTTTTTCTAATCGAGTGGTCAGTTACTGGAACGTCTTACCAGAACAAGTGGTATCAGTCACATCAGTGAACAGTTTCAAGGAAAAGCTGGGTTCTTCACTGGAGAACAAGGTGCGGAGGCTAGCACAGGTCCATCGACCTACTAACATTGTTACTAAAGCGTCGATTGTTTATATGTTTCAACGAAGTAGTACTCTGAGGTCATCTTATGTTAATTAATTTTGGATTGTTTCCCTAAGATGCCAATCAAAAGAGGGCATGTTGCTCCTCAGAACACATTCATCGACACACTAATACAAAAGTTTGATAGTCAAGGTAATGATTTCTTAAGGGTTCTGACTGTAAGGAATTTTCAGTTTACTTTTATCTAGGCAACTATATTTTTCAATGTAAAATGTCGTCTTCTAAAGAATATTATTTAATTGAAGGCATTATGTAACCTTCGATTTGGTTGTGCGACTGCGAATTTGATTAGGAAAGTTTGTAAGAGGTCAGTCAGAATGCTTAAAACTTCCGGGATTACTTGGTCTTTTTATAAAGCCTTGAACCCTGGTATGGACGCTTTCTTGACCTAACTTTTGCTGTGAGACTTTAAAACTAACCCTTTTTGTCATAAACGAAGCAGATATGCTGTGGATATATTAGACTACACGACCATTGATAACAATTTCTGTAAATTAACTACCAATAGGTAGTTTTAAAACAAGTTGTGCAAACCAGCTGTCAAATGTACTCTAGAGTACATTTAGTTCCTGTAGTTAGTTTTCTCAGCCCTTATCAGTAACTTTGCGAACCGGGCTTAACAGACATTTTGTTTGAGGTAAAATCTTGATAGTTCTCGTAGTGCTCATAATACCTTGTTGCTCGACAATAATCGTATATGTGCTTAAAACTCACAGTTATAAAGTCATATTTATGAAAAGTCTAAGTCAAGGAGTTGTAAATCAATAAATTTGGTTAACTCTATGGTGGCAATTAATTTACCATATCTCTAAATCATATTGATTCAAATGGTTCAAATCGTAGTGGACGGAATAGAGGAAGCTTTCGCTTTACAGGCTTCCGTGTCTAGTAGCAGGGGATCACGAGTACCTTCAGGCAGGAACCTAGGTATGTTAACAATAAAAGAGGAAGAAGAAATTAGTAAATCATAGTGTGATACTATCTTTAATCCTTAAGAATAGATTGCTTGCTGTTTTTACTCAACTGATGACCGCTTGTTTTTTGTCTACTCTTGCAGTTTGGCTTAGGGATCACAATAAGATTTAGAATGAAATTACCCGACCACAACTGTTATCTTGATGTGGTGGTCTACCTTGACTCTCGTAATGACTATCGAGTTATATTTCCTGAGGCAATTATTTCGTTAGATCCTAACTTGCAAAGCATGCTGGTTGGGGAACAGCAAAGCTAAAAACATCAAACCCCCTAAAAGTGTCACAGTTCATCTTACCCCACGAGCTTCCGTCTTCTGCAGTAATGTTTTTAAAGCAAAGAGCTAATGTACCAGAAAGTCTCATTGAATAGCCGTTTGTGACCGGGCAAAAGAAACTGTCCCCGGGACTTTTTGATCACGATCGCAGGTCAATAAAACCACTAATAATCACGTTTCTCAAGTTTTTCAACAAGAAATATCCCTCCATAGTGCTGCGATTTGGAAGTTACGACCGCCCTCGTAACTTACAACAACAGATATCTTCATATTTAAAATCGAATCGCTTCATCATTTCTTTTTTCTACGATTTTATCCCCATTATCCGCTAATGCTGACCATTTTATTTCACGAGGTTTTGTCCCTAGGCTATTGAAACTACTCTCTAAACTACATGACGGAGCTTTCAGTGTTTAAACTGTATTTCAAACAAACAAACAGGCTTCTTCATCCGATACTCTGAGGTCTCATGACATCATCGCAACTTTTGCCTCTTAAAAATAAATACAGGGTTCAAGTGTTATCATTCACTTGACAGCACATAGTCAGTGCAGAGAACCGTAGCGATATTTCTCCCGAGTATGTGAAGAGCCCACAGTTACTTCCTGTAGCCCCGCTGGTGTAGTTGTAACACCAAGTTCAGAATCCGATCAGGCTCTTTTAAGCTTAATTCTAATATACAATCACTTGCGCAACCCAACTAAATGGGAAAGTAAGAACACTGAAAGATAGACACAGGTCGTTGTCTCTTCGTTATGTGCCCACGCTCTTACTCATTTTAGTTTTGATGAAGCAGTGGATGAGTTTCATCTAGAGCATACTGTTTTGTTTCAAAAGCTTAACACAAAGAGGTCACAATTTTAGTAGAAAATGTCAACTCTTAATTAGATACTTCAACCTAGATCAAAAGACATTTAGATGGGTCTTACAGTATCTAAACTAAAAAAAAACAGAAGTGACTGTCTGTTGCTAATATCCTCAGACAATTTTCTAACTGTAAATATTAAGTGAGACATCGTTTGAAATGGCGACCTTCACAGCCGAAGCAACGATTAACACAACTAGATTATATTGTCACCAGCCATTGTTGTAGAGGCTCAATAAAATACTATCACTTGTTACAGAGCACATGTCTGGACTCTGATCCTGCTGTAGTACGAGAACATGTTTGTTTACCACTCACTGGACTCATAAAATTCACATAAAGATCTGTAATGTCGCGTCGAGTCGCGGTTGACTATGATCACCACTACAAGAAGGTTGCGTGCCAGATATCAGAAGGCAATTGGAGGTTGTGGCGAGATATATTTATTGGCAGTTTTGTGGTATCGAAAGAATACCGAGATCGTGCCAAAGGAGTACAAGCGAATTTACTGAGCAAACATAAAATCGTGCAAGGTCACAACCAACGGAAGAAAGAATGCCTTTAGTACAGTCAAACAAACAAGTACAGTAAAACAATCACTGGTACAATTGGTTATAATAATTATTGTTTCCATTAAACCAATCGCGTTTTCTTGATAAAAGTAGGTTACTACCGATCCTTCAGAGTTCAACTCAATGATATATTTCAAAATCGACTAGCAAAGCAGAAACAAAGAAGCTCAAGGAAGCTATTAACCTACTCCTACAGCATGAGACGTTATTGATTACTAAACACGACAAGAGTTAGTAAATCGTCGAAGTGATGTTCATACTCACGTGGGTTGGGATGATATCCGGCAGCTATGAAAACAGTAGCGATGTTTACAAGTGACTACAACCAGAAGGTCAAGAAAATCTATGGGTTTGAACAACGTCTAGTGAATTGATAGGTCCTCGGGAATTCGGTCCATCAAGCTCCGAATAGAAGGAGGGGCGAAGTCAACCTAAACTTATAGTGACAACCAGTCTACGGAGTGATCGTCAGCAGTAGTGGATAGTCATCCATCAACTTCTATAACTGAGGTTTTTAAAATAACATTTAACTTCCTATACACGTCTCAAATCACTGCACAACTCCAGAACGCTCTTACAGCTTATGCTGTCATACGTCACTTGTAGTGTATGAGAAATATTAACCTGACAACTAAGAGGCCAGTTTACTCTGCGGCAGTCAGCTGTGTATTAATTTATGACTATAAATCATGGTCTGTTAAATTAGTGGACATTTTTAGTTTATTAGTGCTTGGTCGTATATGTCTTCGTCCAATGCTTTGAGGACACCAGGCGAAGAGCTCTGGGGTTTGATACGGGTCACAAGCAGAGGTGATTGAAATATGTGTTCCAAATTCTCCTCATCTAAATTTCCAGGGGTTGAACTTCTACCGGGAGGTTCACTTGTTGACTTAGAATATGCAGATGACATAGTTTTATTTGGTGAAGACGCTGACAAAATGCAGAGTCTTCTGACCACTCTAAACAACAATGCAAGCATGTTCGGGATGCGATTCTCTCCCTCGAAATGCAAAATGTTGCTTCAGGATTGGGTTACATCGACACCCAAACTAGTGATAGGGAGTGAAGTAGTTGAGTGTGTCGACCGCTTCACTTATCTTGGAAGTCTCGTCAGCCCTTGTGTTCTGGTGTGTGACGAAATCTCAGCACGGATACAGAAGGCTCGACTAGCTTTTGTCAACTTGCGTCATTTATGGCGTAGGCGAGATATCCGTCTATCAACCAAAGGACGTGTTTACTGTGCAGCAGTTCGTTCCGTCCTACTTTATGGCAGTGAAACGTGACCGGTAAGAGTAGAGGATATTCGTAGGTTACTAGTATTTGATCATAGGTGTCTTCGAAACATTGCTCGTATATCATGGGACCATCGAGTAAGTAACACAGTTGTTAGGAAACGGGTACTAGGTAAGGATGGCAAATCAATTGATGAAGTAGTGAAACTTCATCAGTTGAGATGGCTGGGACACGCGTTACGTATGCCCAACCACCAACTGCCTCGACGTGCAATGTCCAGTGGTATAGGAGTTGGTTGGAAGAAAGATAGGGGCGGCCAGACCAAAATATGACACAAATCCATGAAGTCACTGACAAGTGGACTGAGTCATGTTGGTAGGTGTAGACTACCTGGTTGGGGACCGCGAGATGATAGCAACCGATGGTTAGAGACCCTGAATGACATGGCTCAAAATCGTTTGCAATGGCGCAGGTGCATCCACTCTCTGTGTTCTCCCAAATTCTAATCTTCTGAATCCTTCATATCCCTTTTTTCCTCTTTCCAAATTTATTTCACTGTATTATACTCTTTAAATAACATCTCCAAACCCTAATCTTCCCGATTACTACTTATACTTTTGCTACCTCTACCACTACGGGATTTGAATCGACAACTGCATCTCTGTGTTAATGTGGTGTGGCAACTCGAACTGATGTACGTACGTACGAAGTTCTACGTTGTTACTGACTGACTGACTGTGTTCCAAATACCCAAATACTGCGTATCTTAGCACTCAATCCTGTCTAACGAAACACCTGATTGTAGAAAAGCTAGGGGAGTTCAGACTGAGACGTGACATCAGTTCATGGAGTCACTGGGCTTCAATATTTTCTCATACATTTTATCAATCGAAATTACTTTCTCTTAATCATATTTTTCAATGATTAATGTTAGTACAATAATTAATACCGTTCGTTAGACTCCTTTTCTATTCATCTCATTAATTCCATCCCACTATTTGTTCTGGACTCTATGTTGATTGTGGCCGACTGAATAACTAGTATTCTGAATGAAATGTTGTACAACTCACACATTTTTCTAAAGCCTTCAATGTTTCATGATCCTTAAACTTCTGACATTATAATTGTTCACAGTTCTATTTGAGTTAAAATTAATTTAACAGCCTCAACTGAAATTACTGTTTTGTTACAAGATCACTAGATGAAATTAAGCCTCTGTAATCAGTTAGTTTGCATATCACATGAAAACAATAGATTTCGTAATATATGCCTACACTTCGTTATTCTGCTCAGCTCTAAACCAGCTAATTCCCATCAATTTATAAAATGCTGGTTAGTTTTTATCAATATACAATTCTTTTTACCCAAATATGATTGATTACCATTTCTCTTCATATTACTAGGATTTTTCTAAACACTTATTCAGCTATTGTAACATTTGAAGGAATTATTTTTAAAATATTCTTTTTTTTTCTTTTTGCCTATATAATTCTGATCAATTATAAAATGTTAAAGGTATTCTCTCAACTGATTTGTTGAGTGGTAGTATGTAGTGACAAGAACATCATAGAGAACATAAATTAAAATAGATCGAAACTCTTAGTCGTCATAGAGATTTTCTATGGAGTTTTACAGCTTTCTTATTTATGATTAAAATTTCAAGTAGTGGGACTATGATCATGCGGTTTTTATACTTACTTCATCAATCACAACAAATTGCATTAATTCGGCTTTCTGTGAACATAATGTTCACGTAAAAAACCATTAAAACAAGTATTTTATTCGATCATCAAATATAAGTAGTAATAATCATTGTTTTGCAGGTCGGAAATTTTTGATTGCTAATGCTGTTCTACCTGGAGCACCAATTATTTTCTGCAACGATGAGTTTTGCTCCCTTTGTGGATATTCAAGGGCTCAAATTCTACGTCGTTCTGCCGCTCTGGAATTTCTATATGGACCATCGACTTCATTCGCATCTATCAAGGATTTGAAAACAGCACTGTCAGATTATGAGGAGAAGGTGATCATGGCTATTCTTTGCAACAAATCAGGTAGATTTATAGTAATACTATTAGTTTGCAATTACTGCCTATTTATACTATGGATCCTTTAATTTATAGTTGGAATACTGTTGACGAGTGTTTAATGATGTAAAATAGGACCAGTCAGAAGTTACACAATACAATTTGTATTTGTAATTACATATAGAGCACAGATTTACCTACAGTTAGGTTTCAGTTATTCGTCATCACTTCAATGATGAATTGATTATTTATTCAACTAAACAATAAAGTCATATTTGAAGATTCTTTTTTGCTGAAATTTAGCAGTTAGGTCACGTATTTCTTTTGTTTACTATGTTATTGAGTCATTGGGCGAGAAAAATAAGTCATTTCGGACAATCAAACTACAATCTCTGATGTTACGAAATGTAAATACTGATTTCTAACTTTGCTATTACAATTTATATCTTTGACATCAATTATCTTATGTTCTGATTATTATTAGTTAACATATTTAACATAACAATAATCATTCCAATAATGTACTCATGAATTTATCAGTATTAATCTATTTGTATCACATCTTAGTGGCATTTCTTACGAACTAATCTCATCAAAAACACCTAGCCAGAAACATTTTTTTAAGTAACTGGGTTCATTTAATTCCTATATTTAGCTTAAATAATCTTTGAAACTTAATATAAATTTATTTATCTTCAGTTATACTGCTATATTCCATTTCTTAAGAGAAAACGAACGAAAGTTTTCTTTGATAATCTTTTTGCGATTTACTGTGATATGAAGTTATCATCAATTTTTTTACCTTACGAAAACAAATCAACAAACATACTAACAAATAATAATAATAGTAGTATAAATAATACTTTTTTTATCAAATAGGCAATCAATTTATTTGTCAAATAACAGTTGCTCCAGTACGTAATGCAGAAGGTCAAGTTCGCCTATACATTTTAACTTTTGTGGTTAATTCTGAATTTAGAAAAACAAAAAGTACAAATCTCCCTAGTAAAACAAGTAAGTGAATGTGTTTGTATATATATATATATATATATATATATATATATATATATATATATATATATATATATATATATATATATATATATATATAATGTACTTTAAAAAATTTCAATCACTTCTTGATTCTCATATTTGTATCATACTTTTTTTTTCAAACAAGTTACTAATTCATTTGTTTACTTTAAATTATTTTCTTTTTCGATTACTAAACACCGTTATATGATACCACTTAAGAGTATTTATTAATTAACTTTGAAAATGTCCACTTGTTTAGTTGCTGAATCATAAATGATTTACGTAAGTAGTTCTACCTCCTTTTTTGTAATACAATCTAATTCTCATTTTTACCCTCTGTCATCTAAATAATATTCTTTTAATGGAATCAAATGGATTTCTGTTAAATTTATTACAAGCATATTATCGATTACTTCTAGTTGATTGAATATAAAGAAATATAAAATATTCTAAGCTTTGTAGTATTAACTGATAGCTCATTATTGTTAATGGATTTTGTAAATTGTACCATTAAATTACTTACGTTTTTATAAACAAATTTATACAAAATCAACTAATACAGAGTCGTTTTAAAGTTCCAAATATAAATGATAACTTGTTAATTAACGAAAAATGGAAAGTATGATATATAACCTGATTCATCTCGGTTCATAACATTACATAGTTCAGTATGACTTTTTTCAAATAAATAACTTAGTATAAGCTTGATCAATGCTTGTTCAAAATCATTCTTAATTCCAATGATGCTTAAGTTTAAATAGAACACATAGTTTTGAGTTGAATATTGTAGCTCAATCGGTAACTCATTGAATTGTTGAATCAGTGGCCACTTTCTCTTATCATACTACAAATTAAGCTGATTTAAAATTATTCTTGTATCGAAAAATGAGTCTGTTAATCAGGACTACCCAAAAAATATTATCATTAGTCCAATGGTTTATTTTTATGATCTTTTTTCGTATAATATTTTCTTAAACATTTATGTAAAAAAGTATACCGTCTAGTGCATTTTGATGAGACCGTTTTCATTTTTTTTCCTACATAGGCTTAACAAACGATAGGAAAACGAGTAAAAATTATCAACGACAGCTGTGTTGTATTCCAGTCAATGATACAGTTGGTGAAGAGTCTCGAACAATTAGTCAATTAACTAATGTTCATGATCACAAGGATGAACTTGAACAACCCATTTCTAGATGTGAACTAGAAAACTCAACTTCTGCAAACTCTACAGGTGAGTGTTCTTAAACTGCATACTACAAAAATTCGCTAGGTTACAAGTTTAACCTATAATATACGACTGCATTTAAAAACACTCGGTTCACTTTAACATATAGTACAGTGAAATAAATTTGAGAGGAGAAAAAAAGAGACAAGGAGGAATAAGGAGATCAAAATTTGAAAGAACACAAAGAGTGGATGCACCTGCGCCATTGCAAACAATTTTGAGCCATGTCATTCAGGGTCTCTAACCATCAGTTGCTATCATCTCGCCGTCCCCCATCAAGAAGTCTACACCTACCGACATGACTCAGACCACTTGTCAGTGACTTCATGGACTTGTGCCATTTTTTGGTGTGGCCGCCCCTAGCTTCCTTCCAACCTACTCCTATTCAAGTAAATGAGGTTTCTGACCTCATTACACCTAAAGGAATGTCATTTGCAAAAGTTCTAAATGAAATGTGAATTACTTGTTTTGCATGTAAACACACTTTGGAAAAAATCAGCTTTCCGTTAATCTCACACGAATTCACACTGTATGCTATCTTTAAACGTTTTCACAATCTTTATAAAATCCCTAATATTATAACTTAGGTCTTCATCGGAGTACTAATATAACTGAGGGCTTTCTCACTGGTAGAGTAGTACAATACATTTATAAACAATCCGGGGGCTGCGAATGTTTAACTGAATATATTTTTTAATGTATTGTTTATACAGAACGAGATTTAAGTTGCACATGCTTAATGCAACCAGGCGAATTGAAACAACCTCTACCTCGATCTAATTCTCTTGTGAGCATTTCCCCAAATGTCCCGAAAGAACCAAAAAGAGGTCGTAATTATTTAGTTTGCAGAGGACATTCTATTGTGAGTACATCTTCACATATGTCTAGAGGTAATTCACTCATTGGTCTTTCTCGTGGATGTGGTGGAATTGTGGTGAATACCGACTCATGGAGCGCATCCCGTCGTCATGTTTCAGAAAAAGTTGCTGAGGTCAGTTAATACAAACTTTTTAGTTGATACCCGCTAAACCACTGTGGTTTTCTTCACTTTTCCAGCTTAATTCTTAAAAATAATTTGTAATATACATGATTTATTGTTTTAATCTAAGAGAAAAGTATGGTTATTTCACTGTAAAAACTACTTCGTGTACATACTTCATATAGTTATTACAATTTTGGATGTTACAAGTCATAACACTTCTTTTTAGGAAGAAAATATCTAATCAACTGTCTTGTCTAACTTCTAATTGAGGCGTGTATTCATGGGACTTCAACAAGAACAAAAACAACCATATATATTAATATTTGTGAGGCAGTAGATAGCAGTGTAAAATTTACATTATTAGATAACATTTTGGAAAGATGACTTTTGAATGATATATTTACAATAATTTACCACCTAATAATAACCAATATCTCATTGTTTAGCCCTAACTGTGGATCGAATTCTGCCTAGTAGATTCAAATGAGATCATTAAGCTGCCACTTTTTAGACTTGGTTAATACCATAATTTATCTCGAAGTTAGCCAAACTGAGATTAAACATCTACACTTGACACGCACTTAAGCCTGTTATGTCTCTTGGAGTTTAAGCCGTCACCCAGGAATCTCCAACCAACTCTGTCCGAATTTTTTACAGTCCTTGCTAAGAGCATTTTGTCCTTTTAATTTCTGCCTCCAATTCCTAGTGCAATGTGTCATTTTGTTTGCCTCTTTTCCTTTTACCTTGAGGATTTTAGTGGCTAGCTTCTTATATCAGTCACCTTGATGACCGTTATTATATAATTGCCAACGGTGTTTAAAATCAGAAGGCAATTAGAAGCAGCAGCTACAGTTTATTAGCTGATAGCATGGATAAAAAAGCCATAAGCACAGAGGCGAATGTGTGTACATGAGCACATACAGAAGCAGATTTATATTCGAATCGGATAAAGCGCAGCTAGGCAAGGCAAAGGATTCGAGTACATATATATATGGGAAAGAGAATGACTCATCGAGCGATATTTAAGCTATTAGCATTTAAGCTAGAGAGAGATATGTTCGTAGGCCGTCATGTGATCAAGCGTACCTCATCAACTAGAAGTTGATTTATCAAATAGCTAGTTTTAATTTCGTTATGATTGGTCGTTTATTTCTTAAAATTGATATAAAATGTCAGGACTTGACGACAGAACACATTTTCTTACAATTGTGGGCGGTAGTAACGTGCAAAGCACAAGCTCTGTCGTTCCCCACGTTATCACAGAAACCGATAGCAGGTTAATTTTCTTCTTGAAAGTTAGTTTTCCAACTCTAAATTTTTAGATACTAATGTCGAAATTGCAAATAACTCGGTTTAAATTTTTCTGCTATTGTGCGAAATGCAAATCAACAGTTGAACATTCTTGTTTTCAACTTTCTTAAAGTTGCATTTAGTCATAAAATGTTATTTTTCAATTTAGATGCTTTCCATGGGTCCTGAATTAAATCCAGAACAAAAACTACACTCTCCACGTATTCATCCATTCACTTTAAAACATTATGGTCCTATTAAAGCAGTTTGGGATTGGCTTGTTCTTCTTTTTGTAATTTATACAGCTGTATTCACGCCTTATGCAGCAGCGTTCCTACTTCCTGATGCTAAGCGAAAAAGAAGACACAATGTAAGTTAATTTTCTATTTAGTATGTTTTAATTTGCTTTGTATATTAACCTCATACGAAATTTGGAAAAACCCTATATATATATATATATATATATATATATATATATATATATATATATATATATATATATATATATCAATGGCTTGGTAATTCGTAAAGCACTCCATATAAAATTTTAAGATTACAGGTTGACCTCTTACAGCTGGACAATTTTGTGACTACATCCAATGTTTATTCATATCAAAAACTAATAAACAAATCTATACTTTAGCAGTTAAATTCACGAGTCGATCTAAGCTGAACCCCCATCGAATTCCTAGAAGCTATGGACGGCCGTTTCGTTCTAGGACGGTACACCTCAGCAGCGCGCATCTACGACCCCAATTGTGAGCCTCAAACCCAGGACCTACTGTCTCGTTTAGCCTCTAGATCACTGAGCAGGCATCCAACGGTGTTGATGTTAAACTTCAATTCATCCATGAGCGATTGCGCAACCATTTATCTGTTGTCTGAGTTAAATCCCTGTCTCACACCCGACACGGATTGGACTCCATAGGTCACGGTTTCTCATTGTATTTGATTACAGAGATCCGTTAATCGATTGGGAATTTCATTGTGCATGGGTTAAGATAAGCTAACGTTCTATCGATACCACATAAAGACGATAAGTTATTCTTACAGTTTTTATATCATGGAGTCCAAGTATTGTCGTTTGAAATGCATAATAATGTGAAGATGTAACAGTTAAAGTATTAATCTTAGTTTAGAAGCCTCTGAAATTATAAAAGGATAGTATACTTAAAAATAAAATCATCCAAGCCTCGAACCCCTTTGAACTACATATTTCATTAAAAATTGATTTCATTTTAATCCAAATCTCCTACTTAAAAAATTACCAACCACTATTACTTTAGTGTGTTACAGTTACTTTTATAGTCAATATGTTACCTTTTTACTTAAAATTATCTAACTTAAATATTCATTGAAGCAATAGTATTTGTTCAGTGTTAAATACATTGATCAAAAATTAAAATGAAGAATCAAATGATTAAACTGCCAAAAACGATCAAAATTACTTGTCTACTAGACATACTTTTATCATAATTTTGTCCTTGAAAACAAAAGCAGAATTTCATCCAATCATTTTTTTCTCTTTGTTCTTTTCTTTTTTCCTATCAATTAGTCTTTGCTTACATCGTTTTTTTTCTCGATCTCTTTCTTTATTTCACTTTTCATGAAGAGAAAACAACGATCACCCTACTCATTTTGCGAAAAAAAAGTATTTAGTAATGAAATGTTAAAGGCTAATTTAATTTTTGTCTTTAAATACGCTTTTCTATATCATTTAAGAATGATAGGATTGAATGTACACGCATACATACATGAAGAAATAAATAATTAACTACATAACTCAGTTGAGATCGGCTGAAATAATGTTCCTCTCCTCTCTTCACTTCTCTTCATTTTCATTTGTTTGTCTGTCTTTGAATGACTTTTTCAATGTTTACATTCCCTGGAATGCTTAATGTAAAATAAAGAGTTTATTACTTTTGTAAGTTTTTTTGATCACTCTATTTACGTCAAGTAAGGTATTTTTCTCTTCTTCTTTGTAGAAAATGTAAAGGTTGCGACGAGACTGGTGGTTAAAATTGTATTTGTTGAACTTCTTTTTTCATTGTTTTACTTAACCACACCTACTTTGTTGAAGGTCAAAAATGTAGTTAAACTGGCTATTGTTTAACTTTAAACAAGATGAAATGAAGTAAGAACGAAAAGAAAAATCGAGAGATTAGTATTTTATTGGACTGAAATTAATTGATCAATAAAACTAATCAAAAGTGCCAACATTTTTTACTGGGATTCTTTTGTTATATTGATTTCCAGTTACAAAAATATATTCTTACTATTACTATGACTAGTGTTATTCAAATTGCAATGTTTTGTTCTGAAAAGAATCTATAATTAAAGTGATTTCATTCAACAGCAACTAACTTATATTTATCTAATTAGAATTAAAACGTAAGGATTTCAACAAGTCGTCTGTAGAACATTGTTGATTTTAAAGATAGGTTCCATCACTAGATGACGTCAGCTGAAGAATCTTTATAAAAAAGGAAGCGTTAGATGTTTGTCTTGATCTACTTTTATAACTCAGTCAATGTCATTTCGAGATCATAACTGTCTTCACAAAAAACAAATCTTCACGAAATTATTCATCTTATTAATATTCACATCCTCATTAGTGGCTAAGTTAGAGATAGATATTTTCAAACTTCAGTTAAAATATGGCGATGTATGGTGTCTCAAGCCTACCTGGAATAGAGACAGTTATCACAGATTTCACTAAACAATGGTAGTTTCATATACCCTATTAAGTAAAGACTAAATGTGGTTTTGAATCCTTGGTCACCGACTACCGTATTACTACAAAATATTCAATTATAGGTGTCGTAGAACAGAATTCCTGATGATTAAGAAACAAGATGAAAGAACTGTCCACCACTTTATTTCAAATCGACTCTACAAATAATGTCAATTCTTGAAAAGAAGTTTTCTTATCATGTAATCAATCAGAATGTTTCACCAAATTACAAACATTAGTCAAATGTTGTATTGTCGGTAGTAGTTATCATAAAATAGAGAGTAAATAGGTCTATAAGGTGAGAATATATATCAATAAATCTTCTTAGTTCTTCTTCCTATACTTCTTTGTAACTATCATATCCAGTGTTTTAAGTATCAAATCAAAATCTTGAATTTATTTTCCTGTTCTACTACATGACCATTTGGGGAAACTTACATTATCAATTAAAATTGGCTAATTTTACATTGGATTTGTTTTTTTCCATTAAGATAATGCATGTGTGAAAATTAGCTTATCATTAAAAATTTCTGTCTATTATCTTCTCTTCTCTTGTCTATACAGGATGGCTGGGGTCGATATAGTGGTCTTACATCGTATCAGAATCCATTACAAATTATCGATTTATTTGTAGATATAATGTTTATTGTGGATATATTTATTAATTTTCGTACAACTTATGTGAATAGAAATGATGAATTAATTTCACATCCTGGTCAAATTGCTATACATTATTTTAAGGGTTGGTTTCTAATTGACGTAGTCGCAGCCATACCATTTGATTTATTATTATTCGGTGCTGAAACAGATGAGGTAAGTTATTAATTTGTAAGTACTAATTCATTATCATAACGGATGTTTGACATGATTTTTTATCGTTTACATCATAGACTGATATTAGTTGGGCAACCAAGAAGCACATTGGACAACTATTTCATTCTTGTATGAAACAGTGAGACTATAATTTATGGACTACCTTTGAGCGACGCTGAAGTGACCTTGAGTGCTGACACCTACCGATTAGGACTAAATGAGAGTTATAAAGCAGTTAGAATTCTCATTTTCAGTTGATAGTTAAGGTTAAAAATTAAATTTAAGGTTTTCATCACGAACTGACATCAGCTATAATTCCAAAACTACCTAGCGAAATGTATGAATAAATTTCCCGCGAAAGTTCGTTAATCGTTATCTTATATTTGATTGGTTCGTTCTTAAATTATAGTCTCGTCTATGAAATCCTTTAATGTTCTGCACTTACGACTCCTCCAGGGGCAAAACAAAGGATCTTCAGGTCTCACGACTACCTCTCAATCCTTGGAGCAATGAACAAGAATGTAGTTTGGGATGAGATAGCTGTTCAGTATACTTCTTGTTTTTCGTTAGTTGTTTGACTATGATCCAGTAGATGGTGAAAACCATCAAGTTTAAAATTCTCCGCTATCTGATTGTTGTATTATTTTTTTAATTCGTTGCATGGTAAAATAATTGATATTTTAAGGTATCAAGTGATTCATCCGGTTACAGATGATAATGTCAGGTTCGAAATGATTCAAGTTGTTAAATTTCAGCAGCATAGCGACAATAAATTAACAAGATGCAAAGTATCTATTTTGTTTGTTCATCTGAACAATACGATTTATCTTTCAACCTGAAAGATACAAATTAAAGGTGAATGCACTAAGATCTACTCGGCTACCGATCTATATAATGATGATATTGAACTTTATAACGTTCATGTGTCAATCACTTCTTAGTGTCAAGGATTAAGGGAAGTAGGTGTGATGTGTTGAATTATAAATTCTAAAGTAAATACAACTGGTAAGTTTTAATTGAGATCATAAACCGAGCAATGTTAGATCATCATTGAAAACCTGGAAGCACTGGACAACCGTTTCGTCCTAGAAGTGCTTATCCACAATCATGCACATGGAATTCAAAACCAAGACCTTCGGACTCGCGCGTAAACGCTTAATCTCTAGAACACTGAGCCGGCATCCAACGGTGTTAATGTCTAACTCCAACTAATCAACGATATTACCCGACCATCATCCACGTTTTCATTGGTTGTCTAACATTGATTGGTCCAATTACAACTCAACAATCTCCATAACCCTATACTGACAACTGGTAAATGTATGTGTGTTTACATCGAGGTTGCTGAATGGTGATTTAGTAGTTTATATCTTAACACGGTAAAAATGATACAAAGTTGAGTACGTACAAGATTTCTGAGTCCATAATATTACGCTCTAATGATAACACATTGTAGTTTTAAGATAAGTTGAGTTTGGTAGATAACCTGTTTTTTAACTAAAGATAAACTATGAAATACATTTGACAGTCATTATCACATAAACCTGTCCTCAGGTTCTATTAACATAGATCACACTGGCCTTTCCTTGCCTTGCTGAGAACTGTTCAGTTTTCATCAGGACAACATACCTTGAAAATTAAAAGATTCAGTGTCTTAAGATAAATATGTTTCTAAGTGAAACTCTTACCACATGCTATCTATGACATTTTTTGATTTCATCACTAATGTTTACGTAAAATATATCACAGAGCGTTCAACCTATTTCCTTTCTAGTTATGTAGAATTTTAACTAGTATGTTGTCTGTAAAAAGTATTATCACGTACCTTCTATTCATCAACTAATAACTAACAGAAAATGAAGTATATTTATGACCACCAGTTAATCAAAATAACAGTTTAGTATATATTACAATAAATTAGAAGGAATTGATGTTACAGTACAATTAGGGAATTTCATATAGTTAATTCTCTTGGTAAACAATTTGTAACGTATGAAATAACCGATATTGTGAAATTAGTTAAATCTCTTTTTATTGTATGTGTTCTTTTAATTTCCCACATATATACTAATATTTGTGTTATAAATAAGATGTTTTAAAAATGTAGTTTTACGAAAAACAACGATCACGTAATGCAGTTGGACGCTAGGTAGCATTAGTATCTGTGATGCACCTTTCGTCCTATTTAGGACTGGATGGGTTGGCATCTCACTGTTAATGTCTGTATTGCTACTAAAACTCAGTACCTTTTGTTTTAAACGCTAATGAGTTATCTAACTTCAATTTTAAATTGTAGACTAACGTAAACATACTATATAATACAAACAACAATAAGTATCAATAGGTTTTGAAACCTGTATATGATGCTCTTTGTCATTTGACTTGAAACATCTGATATCACTATCGTTTTTTTGAATTTCCTATGATTCAGTTAAACATTCATTTTGTCTACGTACTATGTATAAAGTGTTAAAATGAATGTATTTTACTGTTGAATTCTATTTGCAGATGGCTACATTAATTGGTTTATTGAAAACTGCACGTCTTTTACGTTTAGTACGCGTTGTTCGTAAATTAGATCGTTATTCTGAATATGGTGCAGCTGTTCTTTTATTACTCATGGCTACATTTGTTTTAATTGCTCATTGGCTTGCATGTATTTGGTATGCTATTGGTAATGTTGAACGTCAACAATTCAATGTACGTATTGGTTGGCTTGATCAATTAGCTGAACAAATTAAACAACCATTTGGTAATCGATCAACACTTGGACCAAGTATTAAATCAAAATATATTACAGCATTATATTTTACTTTTTCAAGTTTAACTTCAGTTGGATTTGGTAATGTAAGCCCAAATACTAATTCGGAAAAAATATTCTCTGTATGTGTTATGTTAGTTGGATGTAAGTTTATTATTATTATTATTATTATTATTATTATTATTATTATTACCGGAAATCTTTTGTAATTCACATTAGTCACCTGAACAAACAATACTTACATTTATTCTTGATATATTTTATATGAATTCAGCGTGATTATCAAAAAATAAGCAATTGTGTTTTACCTAACAAATTAGAATTTTTCTGAAAATCAAATCCATTCGATCATGTATTTGAATGCATGTTCCTTATATGTTTCATTCTATTAATTTAGAAATGTAAATTTTGAGTTAGTTTGACTTAAACCAATAAGTGGTATAGTGTATAGTTACAGACCAAGTGATCAGTATTTATCTGTTACATTTTATTATATCATTATGTATATGAAGTGGTATCGGCTACATCAAGATTTGAATATACTGCTGTACCAGTTTTTGTATACGAAATGATCCCAAAATCGATAAAATCACAATTAGAGGATGACTAAGTGAGAAAGTATATTTGAATGACAGAGAAAAAGTGATCCTCGTGCGCAAAGTTTTTGAGCTGGTTAGTTATCATTCATGGGAGAAGAGAAGCGATCAACAACTTATTGAAATGTGATCTGATGCAGATTCTTGCTTTAGTGGTTTCAACTGATGACGTATTCAGTAAAGCTAAAATAGTCGGTATGAATGATAACTGCTTATGAGCTACTAATTTTGGGGAATTATTAACCACTATATATCAGTTAATTAGCTCAGATGACTCAGTAAAACTCTTCCTTGTTAATAATAATAATAAGAGCTAGATGCCCGGTTATCTTTGTATTAGTGCTGCCAATATGAAAGGATTTGTGCAAGCAGATAATATGCTATCAAGAACTGATTACGTTCATTTCTGAATGTCAATACTGATAAAATGGAAGATCTTAAAACTATTGGATTTTTTTTTATTTATTTTCAAAATTCAATGATATATGGGACACTAAAAAAATGTTACCACCATTCTAAAGGTAACGCATCAGTCACAATTTTCATGGTTTTGTATTCAATCTTTCTTGGTGTTGTGGGCTTCAACGGCTCCTGAGTTTCATACTACAACAAAGTATCTGCCCTTTAGATTCTCATTCATACTGGTCAGTCCCCTATGAAAGCTATCGGAGAAGTCCTAAGTATCATACCACTTGAAAAGCGTTATTCCTTGTCCCTTTAGTAATACATTACGTCATCGTAGTAGAACTCATTTGTGGTCCCAAATTATGACTTAATATTCGAAGAAAGTCAATAAAGGACTCAAAATTCGAATTCTGTGATGAATATTGGAAAAGTATGCTTCTTCATAATTTGAAAATCTCAGTGTGTGCTATTTTTCATCCTAAATAGTATTTGAAAATTCGATAAAAAATACATATGAACTTGAATCTACAGATTTTTTCAAGTACCTCTGAAATACACCATTTACTCTGGATTTTTGTAAACATTTAATGACGTATACATGGTATTTAAATTTCGTATCACTTAGGCACAGTTAATTAACTCTATTAGTTTTAAAGTAATAGTACTGATTTTATTGGTCAGTGATTGTCATTCTAAATCGCCTTTTGAGAACTCTCTTCGCTAAATATGAATAGTTTATCTAACATACGGAAGATAGGACTCTGGCTTATCCGTTTGAAGATTTCTAGTGTTAATCATTATGTCAGTTTCATAGTGAGCAAAAATATGAAATATCAGATGTGTTTTTCTTCAAGATTTTTTCTATATTACTTTGGTAATTGTTAATAAAATTAAATTCAAGGTAAGCCCAGAAGTCTTGCTCATACTATTTTAACAAATGATCTCTATGTGTTATTTTCATCTCAGCTATTTATCTCAATTGTAACTCATGTAAATATAGTAACTATTTAATTCTCCTTATCCATGCAGATCAAAACGATAACAAAATATGAGATCGAAATATCTTTAAAGAGTAAACTAATTAGAACAATGCTAGCGTAAACTCTGTCTGAACCATCTAGAAAACATTACATCAAATCTCCACAGAATATCTATTGAAGCTAATCAGAATTACCATTTCCAGCAGCGAATCTTTGAAACCAAGTTGATTTCACATTTAAAAGTGAACATTTTCAAAATGTTTGTTTTTTTATTGAGAATTCATTTAACGGATGGTTTGAAACACTTTTCTCTCTCAAGTACACTACGATAATACATTAATAAGAATCGTCACATTACATGAGATCCACGATTGGCGACCCAGGATAGAGAACTAGATAATTCTTTGTTCCACACAATTACAAGTCGTCATACTCAGTGGTCCTGAGTAGAAATCAATGAGAGGAAAGGAAACCATGTATTTAATTGTCAGTAGGCCAAGTGACTGTTTGTCCACGCTCAGTAATCAATCATATTTTACTTTCATTACCAGACATCAATAATTTATAAGGACAGGTTGTAGTTGTTTGTTTATATTTACATGTTGATAACCGATTAACTATTTTTTATCCTTTCTATACTATATCATCTTTATTTCTCATTAATTATTCCCGTTGAGACATTAAAAAGACAATTTGAGCAAAACAAATATTCCCTTTCAATTAGTTCCTATTCAGGGCTCTATATTAATAAAGATGTTTTACAAATGAGTAGAAATTTATACCAGTTAATGATGATGAGTCAATTGAACAATATAATAATAATCAGTTAGTTACAGAACGTTGAGTAACGACTAACTAATCGTTGGTAAAATAGATATATTAGTTTATAGGCCTTATTAAGAACTAACTGAAAAGAAGTGTTCCTTCGCTCAACTTGTTTTTTGAGTCTTATTTTATTATTTTCAATTATCACTGTTATCCAAAAATACTTGCAATAAGGATCTTTATTGTGTACCATAGTAATCGATTATCATTTTATTTATACTTTTTATCACTATGAAAAACTTAGCTAAACTGATGTTTAGCTACATTGAAAAATGTTGAATATCACTTTAATTGATACAATTAAGAAAATAGAGTATTTACAAATTAGACTGATGAAAAGATAGAATGATTAAAGAATGAAAAGAGAATTGGAAAGATTTTTCATGTTCACATTTAATTTTTGACATGTACATCCATTTATGGAGTTTTTCTTTCAGTTTGTCTATTTTAAATCGATTTTCTATAAGATAATGTGTAATAATCCTTTGTTTTCTAAACTTTGTTTCTGTAAATGAACTCTTAGGTTGATAGGTTCACGGAATTCCGCTTTAAATATTTTTGACTTTTTCATTCTAATGATGTTAAAAGTTGATGATTGTGTTTTTTGTTCCAATATTGACTAGTAGTTGTTTACTATAACATTTCATAGTTCCAGTCAAACTAACGTATATGTTAGATAATCATCCTTTGTAATTACGACATAGCTTTTTAGAAGTAAATCAAAGGTCCAATTGTTCACAGTATGTAGAATTAAATCAGAGAATGTACATTTCACTATGAATCGATATAAGTAGTTTTTAACTACTTGTTTCTGTTGGATATACTCCATTTATATATTTGTATCGTTGATACTGTTGATAGCAAGTAGACGTATTATTTTTTGAACTGTCCATATTAGTTTTCAGAAAAAAGATTGCTATTAGCAAACAAATTAGAGCATAATTTGCAAATCTAAACCCCTTGTATTAATATTATTGTACAAATATTAGTATAAATTTTAGTAAAGTGCAATTATGCAGTATATAATTTAGAAAAAACGAACAGAAAAGAGAGATATAAGTTACGAAATAATGTTATAAACTCAAGATTAAGGAAAACATAGGCAAAAAATACATCTGCACTTTTTGACATGGATATTAACTCGGACTATCGATCAATAATTTGGTCAGCTCCAACTTTCTTGAGACTTACTTCTATGCTAGCAACCTTTAACACAACAGGATCATTGATGGCTTTGTATGCGTAAATTATGTCTCCATCAATCAATGTTCTTACTTTCATCAACTGGTCTGCTATGTTTATCTACTAATCTTCATTAAACCTCATCAGCCCACCCGGTGGTCCTATCATACATGACAAATGCTTAGAATACATGTACGATCAAATGTTAATGTCTTTCATGTATCTCTCTTCAAAGTTCTCACTTTGTAAACTTAGATTATTATTAGGAAGCGGACTGCTACCTTTCATACAATCTTTTTCATCCATGCACTTGAATAAAGAAAGGGAAAATATCGTTGCAGAATAACATGAATTCATTTATCTCGTGGATTCTCATCAGCTGCTTGCAACCTGAAACCAAAGTATTAATCTTAAAAACGAAGCAACTGCGCAAACTTCAAGTCGGAAACGTCTAGAATGAATTGGGTTAATGCATGGAGATAAAATAAGTTTAAGAGATGGTAATACGGAATAACTAAAGTTGTTCGGACGTTCCCTTATTTCTAGGTTAGAAGAGCATAGTAAGAGTATTTTTTTAAAACTGGAGATGATGGTAAACCAGTTGCTGAGGTTGTGAATCTTCATCGATTGAGATGGTTGGGCCACATATTATGTATGCCCGACCACCCATTACCTCTGCGCGTAATGTTGTCTAGTGTTGGAGACCGATGGAAGAAAGTTAAGTACGGTCAAACCAAAATGTGGCATCAATCCTTGAAGTCACTAACTTCCGATCTGAGCCAGGTTGGAATATGCAGATAACTTGGTCGGGGTCCGCGCGACTATCGTAACCAGTGGTTGGAGACTGGGTGATATGGCTCAGAATCTGTCACACCAGCGTAGGTCTCCACACTCTATGTCTTCCCTTAAATCGTCAGATTACTTTATATCTTTCTTTCTACAAACTAATTCTTTCTTCCTGTATTATATCCTTATACACAATCTTTCTTTTATATATTACTACCATTGAAGTAACTTCACCTACGAATTTGGTATTCATCTTGTGGTGGTGTGTTAACTTGGACGGATGCATATAGGTGCCTGGTACTGCATTGTAGATGACTGACAAACTTGAGATGGATTACTTAATAAAGACTAGTTATGTAAAGTTCAGAAGTAAGAATTAGGATTTTAGAAATTCTAGTTAAAGTTTATAGAAAAAAGTCTTACTCAATAGTCATGGCTTCGCACTAAAGCTCCAAACATTTCCTCTCGAAGCTAGATAATACTGTGCACATAATAATACTGCGTGTGGGATCATCATGCATACTAGTGAGAAGTCCAATATTAACACGCAAAGGCCATTCAGCGCTTCCGGGTTTTCAATGGTGATCGTGATTTCAATGAAATTCAAATATCTTCACAATCATACACTAAAACCTTTTGAGGTCCTTTAAATATCTATATATCAGTTTATTTTTCATAATATATTTACATTTCTTTGTAAACGTTGTTAATTCACATCTGTTTTTGTTGCTTTCTTAAATTTATCTTGACAGCTTTAATGTATGCTGGAATATTTGGACATGTAAGTGCTATTATTCAACGTTTATATAGTGGGACTGCTCGTTATCATGCTCAAATGGTACGTGTTAAAGAATTTATTCGTTTTCATCAAATACCAAATCCATTAAAACGACGTTTAGAAGAATTTTTTCAACATGCATGGTCATATACAAATGGTATTGATATGAATTTAGTATTACGAAGTTTTCCTGAATGTTTACAAGCTGATATATGCTTACATCTAAATCGAAATCTACTTAATACATGTTCACCATTTAAAAGTAAGTACTACTGGTTATGTTTGAGTATAATCATGTTACAGATTGAAATCATGAGTCAGTTGAAGCTAGACCACCATGGAAAACCTGGAAGCACTGGACAGCCGTTTCGTTTCAGTATGGGACTTCTCAGCAGTGCGCATCCACGAACCCACACCTCGCGGGATTCGAGCCCACGACCTACTTGCTTCGCGCGCGAGCACTTAACCATTATACTACTGAGCGGGCATTCAACGGTGTTGATGTCAAACTTCAACCAATCCACGAAGTTGCGCCACCGCTTCAACTGACTCATGATTTCAATCTGTGAAAATTTCTAAAATCTCCACAAACCCCTTCTGATTATAATCATGTCAGTTTAATTATTTCAATTTCAAATATTAGTAATTAACAGTTTCCTTGGATAAATATTAATCACAAATCTCCATAATATGTAGATAGAAGTGTACAAATTAAAATTTTCTACTCATATCAATTAAATTGTATTAAATTTCTTAAAGAGGAATTGTTTCATATCCCTTTAACAGTTATCATTAAATTCAGAAGTGATCTATTGAGTCACTGAATAATTAATTCATGTGCGTTTGTTAGAGCATAATAAGGTTATTTGAAATTTAATGCAACAGTTCTGATAAATAATTAGTTATCGAAGGATGGATTTAACAACATGTAAGAAGTATATAGTTGTTAGGGTAAACAGAATAAATATGTCATCAACACTGAATTGGTAGTCATAAATTATAAATAGAAAAACCAAAGCAATTTTTTGAATATATGATGTAAACATAAGAGCGAAACATGAAAAAGCTCGGACTATAATAATGCGAAGAATTTAACAAACTGTTTTGACAAACTTAATTTCCCAGGAGCTTCTTTAGTGTAAAGCAAGTTTAGATATACACTTCATGAAATGCCTGTCTAGACTATATAAATGTTATCAAAATATGGAGTTATATCTGGATATTCTGAATTTACTTCATGGTTCAGAATAGGCTGTATAAATAACCTACGTTATTCTTTGCTAAGCCATGTTTATCCTCTTAAAAGAATAATTTTGTTCAATAATAATTAAGTGAAACGTCTTTAACTCAAGTGTAAAACTCTCTTTGTCGTTGAAAAATAATACTAGACTAATATATTCCTAATTTTCTGTTACTAAATTTTATGGTGAAAAATTAATCACTTTCATTTATTTATGTATTAAGATTCTTATGTAATCCAAAACTTATTCCTAAATCCTAATACAAACTTTTTACTCTCTCAATAGATGTATACTAAATTAGTTGTCTTAGTTACCACTATCGTTTATTTTTTTTCTGATCTTTGTACATAAATTTTATCGGAATAAAAGTCATATATCCTTCTTTAATGTATGATATGTTAGTGATTATTATGATAACTATTATTATCAGCTTAAAAACAATTGACTATAAATGTTCACAGTAGTTTGTTTTATATTTTTTGTAGTTATAGTCGTCTTAGATAAGTTAAATCCCTTAAAATATTCTTCTGAAAAGATAAATGAATGATAAAGTCGAATTAATTTACTATAAACCATACACAACTGACTGTCATTAATAAACGGTCTAAACTTTCTGACGATAATCTCACTTCTTATTCCAAGAACTTACACAGAATATATCAACAGTTATTGGATTATGTAAATCTTTAATTTAGAAAAATAGTTCATCTCAGTTACTAATAAATATACTTTTTTGTTATATCCCAATGAGTCAAAAATTGTATTTCTGACTTTTCGTGACTTAATATAAGTCACTTCTTCAGAGTAACTTGAAAAATCTAAATCTAACGAACATAAGTGTAGATGGACTTGTATTTATTTCATTTCGGTTATTTAATTTAATCTGAAGAAGTGACTTATATATCAAATATATAATTTTTCTATCCATTGGAATATAACAAAGAAATATATTTATTATTAACTTAATACTCAATTCATTTGACGAAACTATCAAATCCAACCTTAGGAGTGATATGTAGAAGTTCATTTCAGATTTGATAGAAAATATTTAATATTCATGAAGAATCATTCCCTATTTGTTTACCATAAATTTGAGGAATCATTATTTCAATATTTAAATTGGGATCATTTTGTTCCATATAAAAAAAATATCACCAAAGTTATGCATACATTGTATTTCAGTAGTAAAACTCAATACCACAGAAAAGAATAATCACTAACAGGAAAAGAATCTTTTTTAATGCAAAGTAAATTGAATAAATTGTGCCTAATATTATCTCTTATTATATTTATTCTTAGAATATTTTATTACTAATAATAACAATGTTTCTAAGATGAATATCTAAAAGGCTATCTTTATGGAAATCTATTAGAATTTATGATAAGGTTCCCAATATCATCAGTTCTTCGTTCCTGCTGATCTTTTCATTGATATGATGATGTAAATAAATGACGTATACATTTTACTTTTTATTTGTAGTTTAACAGTTTAATATAGAATCAAATGACAGTCAAAGTTCTTCACAATCTTCTTGAAGTATTGTTCTGAAATTTTATTAGTAAAATATTTTACTTTTGTACAGTATGTCTTTTAAAAAAGTCCTGAAATTTTATTACCTAAATGAACAATTTCAACAAATTCCTGGATTATATAATATCTTAATTAGTGACTAAATTCTCGAGAGATAATTCTCAGAGTTCTAGTATGAAGCTGTGACCAGTGGAATTAGACTATATTGAATGTGAAAAAAAGTATAATCAATAACATTTAATGACCGTTACACAATATCACAAATTAGGCCGGAAATGTAAACAATTGAATGATTACCAAGTGATTAGATATCACATAATTCTGATAAACCTTGTCTTCTTATTGCATTATCGAGATTTAATATAGGGATTAATTGTTTTTAATGTTTGAGTCGTTGATCCATACTTCTGATGATTTTCTTTCTAGGACTAAATGGATATCTAATACTTCTTAGTTTTCAATAAATGTCTAAAAATCAGTCTGTGGTGTGATACTTTAAATTAGTATTTGGTTTTTAACATCCTAATGTTATCTAAATCCCCCATAAAATTTAGCATGGTTACTATTTTCTATACGTGATATTTCACTTAAATTGATATGAAAATGGATACAATGTTAACCAGAATTTTTAATCCAAATTAAAATTAAACAACAGTGTCAGTAATCAAAATACAAAACTGCAGATAAATTTTTACTGATTTTTTGTAAAAATGGTTTGCATAATTTGAAAATATATCTCATCACAGGCACTGAACTAATGCTTCATATAAGACATTATATTCTGCATTTAATCTTGTTTATTTTCATACGATGTAGTCTATGCTACTTATGCTGACAAATATTAGTAGTATGTAACAATATTCAGAAGTAGAACGCCCTGCAGTAAAAGATTGAGAAGATCGAATTAAAGAGAATAAGAATGTAAACAGATAGTAATTGTAATAACTGGATTAAAAGAATCATCAAAAATGTAAAGGACAACTAAGGGAAGATATGCAAATAATGTATTTAATGCATAGTTTTCATATTTTATAAAAACACTTTGTAATCTTGCATTAAGCAGTGAATTGGTGTTCTCCCTCCTGAGTTTTTCGTTCACTATGTGTATATGTATATAGTTCTGTCAATTCAATGTATATTTTGGCTAACCTATAATATTTTTTGGAAATTTATCATTCTATAGATTTACCTTTATTAACAAACATAGTTCATTAATATTTTTTATGTATTTTTATTGTCTACATAACTTTTTCCTTCATAATTCAAAAAAATATTTCTATATTGTATATTCCTTTTTAAAAAAATTTTTTTTAAAGATGCAAGTCAAGGTTGTCTTCGAGCTCTTGCATTAAAATTAAAAACAACACATGTACCACCTGGTGATACACTTGTTCATAAAGGTGATGTATTAAATTTTTTATGTTTTATTGCTCGTGGAAGTATTGAAATTATGATCGGTTGTGATATACTTGCTGTATTAGGACAAGGTGATGTATTTGGTGAGAATCCAACAGATTTTATTAGTATGGGTCAATCAAAATATAATGTGAGAGCATTAACTTATTGTGATTTGCATAGAATTCAACGTGATGATCTATTAGAAATTTTAGAAATGTATCCAGAATTTGCAAAACAATTTAAAAAGAATTAGAAATAACTTTTGATTTACGTGATGTAAGTTATTTTATTCTCATGGTATACCAATTAAATAATCATTGTTTTAAATAATTTTTTGTGATGAATTGCATTCTATATCCTGAATGTTATAATTTCATTAGTTTTTCATTGTTGTTTTGTACAACATCATCATTCCCTACTTCTGGTAGAAGTAAGATTTTTCGAAAATTCTACTACAAGAGTGAAATTAATTTCACCGTAATATTATCTGCATAAGTTTTGTTATCTTTATGTTTCTTTGTATTCTCAATGACTTTTTACTTGATTGACCTCTTAACATATGATTGATTAACATTTATTGTATCCGACTAAAAACAAAAAAATGTTGAAATGTTTATCGATTACAGATTGACCTGAATTTCATGGGGTTTTAGAAATTCTCTAAACTTCTAACAGTTTTCTCTATTCAGAATTCTAATATTTTTCTAACGATATTCATGCTCTTAGTTGCTGGTAGGCATTTAATACGTAGTGGAATTTCTTCAAGATAATTCCTATACTTCGCATACCACTTGTTTTGGAAATACGTTATTAGATAACTACTAACGGTGTAAAACTTTCAGAAAACAAAAGTACAGCTCACTACTGTACAAAACAGATCATAAAGCCACCAAACAGACGAAACGAATACAAACAGCAATACAGATGCTAATGAATGAAAAGGATTTAGGTAAACAAATGTGTAGACAAGCTAATGAATCGCTGAGCAACTTAAGTAACCAACATTTAAGCTTGTAATAAGAATATTTGCGTGGGCTATAACATGTGATCAAGCATACATGACCATAGAAGTATAAGGAAAATAGTGTCGTGACAAGTAAACTATTAATGCTATAGATGATACTATCTATTAAATAAGTTAAATAGTGTTTGGTAAATTTAAACGTGTACAAACTAAAGTATTGATGAGTGTGCTATAAATTTTTCACTTATGCATAGGTAGGTCTACGACTAAATGTAAACAACTTTGCTTAATAACACTTTAATTTTATAAATATTAACTCATATAAGTTTCACTTTTTCTTAAGTTAACTTTTAATTCAGTCGAATTTCTGTTCATGGTCATCTGTTTAGTGTGTATACCTTGGTACATTGGTGTTGAAAATTCCAAAAATATCAGTGAAATAGTTTCTATTTTCTCAACACGGAAAATAATAGGGAATTTAAAATTGTAAATAAAATCAAGGCATTTTTACAATGAACCCATATTATTAACATAAATCTCGACAAGGCATAGGTTAATGCTCTCAGTTCATATCCATACCCTTGTTTGAGAGTAAGCAATTCTACTTGTGCTAAAAGATCATTTACACTAGATGATTCACCATTGATATGTATTAATTGTGTTTTAGACAGAAACTAAAAGTAGGTTTAACTTTCAAAACCTCTACCAACGCATATAAGCTTTCTTTTCTCTTGAATTCATAACTATTGTAATTGTCATTTTTTAAACCTGAAATAGTGTGAATTACATATTAATCTATCAATATAAAGTGTTTGCATCCTGTAATTCCATCAACAGTATAAATATGAGTAAGTATTTTGTGGCCCGTTGATCCGACTTCATTGTAGACCAATGTTTGAATATGCTGTGAACACAAATCTTCAATTTAGCTCCGTATATTACCCGGACTAACCCCGTTTGAGTGACGTCAGGTGGTACATTGGCGATAACTGTGCCGGTAGTTAGTGCTAGCCAGAAACAGTTTGTGGGCTGCGCACAGTTGCAATAGACGGTCCCCGTTATTTCACATGCGACCAACAATTTCCCATCGACCACCTAAACGACTCTCTTCTGTGCCTAGACGCCAGACCTGAACATTCAAGTCTCTGGTTAGTACTACAATATCTGTCGAACGCGCCTTCTGGAGAAGAACAGATAACTGGTGGTAAAACTCATCGTTGATCGCATCCGGGCTGCAATCTGTCAGTGCATAGGTGGAGATAACGAAAAAACATCGTTTCTCACACCGATTTCTTTTGACTTCGATATATATATATATATATATATATATATATATATATATATATGATTAGTGTTTCCCTATGTATACGTATAAATATCATATATTTGTTTTTACTAGTATTCGGATCCATGCATTCTTAATCCGGAATTAATCCAACCATCAGATAAACCCGTTAAATATTCCTCACCTAAACATATTAGCATATCACATCAAACCAATGCTTATGTTGGTGACAATAACAATGACGCTGATGATAATGGTGGTGTAAGTAATGACAATTCTGATTATGAAGAAGATTTTGACGAATGCTTTCAACTTCATGAAATAAATGGTAATAATTATATATATAATCAATAAAATGAACTCTTTAGAATTTTTCCTTGAACATGTTAACTTTTCACTCATTGTATGACATTTTTTTTTGATGATAAGAAATAATTTCTTGGCAACCTTAAAAACTACATAATTGCATAAACAAGTGGTAAAATGAAGTCAGAGAATTGTATTTCAGTACTTCTTAATCCGTATTGCAAATTGTAGGATAAAATGTAATGTAACCGCGAAAACCAGTACGTGCAGCACGAAACTGAGACGTAAATGACACAAAGAAGGCAAAGATTATTGACAGACGAAGATTCAATGCACCTTCTAAAAATGGACGGCAGTTTATAAACCACTCATTTATAGATAGATTTTGATATCGTTTGATGACTAGTCAATGAATATCATATAAAATTGTAATAGTGAGAAGAAATGAACTTTTCACTGAATCAACACAAAACGGTTGCTGGAAGTCAGTCATTCTCAACGTAAAACCTGAAACATATGTGCTTTGATCCAAGTTTCCATACGATAGCGAAATAAGATTTTCAAGATAAAATCAAGAGTAGTAGAAATAGGGACAATATAAATGATAGTAGGAATGATTAGGAATAGACAGTATAATTCTAGAATGAAGGATGGACTGCGGGAAGGAAAAAATATGAGATAATTCTAAAAATTAGGGTCTGAAGGTAAATGAAGAGTGGAATATGTTTGAAACCGATTTTGAGATATTTTATCCAATATCTCTAACCACTGTTTACGATAATCACCTGAACTGCAACTAAGCAGTCTGCATCTACGAACATGCTCTAAACCAATAGACAGGGGTTTCAAACAGTTATCCCGCGTCTTTAGACCAATTTACCCCCACCTCAATCAGCTTATCGTGTTGAGGTAGACTGTGATCGATAAAATACTTAATACATCTCCTGACCATCTCAGTTGACGAAAACGTATCATCTTATCAACCAATCTTCCTCTTAACTTAATACCCTGCATCTAAATTCAAAGTTACTCACTCAACAGTCCCGACGTACGCGAGGAATTCTTCGAAGGCTTCTGTGGCCAAATGCTATTAATTTACGTATATCTATTTCTAAAGGACTATGTCTCACAGCACAAAATTAAAAAAAGCGTACGGCTGCCCAGTAAACTCGTCCTTTGCTTAGGAGAAGCACAGGTCGACTGAACCGCGTGTGGTATATTCAAGCAAAGACTGAATGAGTTCCCTTAATTCGTGGTGATTTGTCGTCTGACACCAACGCACCAGGGTAGATGAGACTTTTAAGATAAGTTAATTGATCTACATAATCAACCATTTCACTCGCTATCGTCAGTTGCAGTATTGACGTAGACCAGTCCTGAAACAAAATTTCGCATCAAGACGGAAGGAATCATATCTGAAATTCCCTGCATTGTAACCCAAATTGACAAAAAGACTCCATTTTATTAGCATCTTAATGAAGTCAACAAGTAATTCTTTTAGTAGATGATCAGTTCCTATAAACCCAGACAACGAAAGCATCATCTCTATGATAATGTGTGTAAGGAACTTAAATACAACTTGGGATAGTGGACAACCCTGAAGATCTTCACTCGATATGATCAATCCTGATGACAGTTCTCCCTAACCTCTGAATCGATCAGTGGTCTTCGAGTAGAGAGCCTGTACAAAGTTGATTTACTTCCTTGCTAACCTTTTCAATGACAAACAATACCATTGCACATATCAATTACCAGAACTGGTTGTTAGAGGGTTTCTAATCTTCCTCATAAACTGAAATAATTAACAACCGAGACAAATCAATATAAACTACCGTATATCTAAACAGGCAAACAGTCTATCTATTAAATGACTAAAAGTATTTAAATACATATTTTCGTCATCATAATGATATTTATGATATTTTAATAATGAGGCTGTTAACTTTTAAACACAAATGTATAATACACCGATAGCATAAATGAAATAACCAGAGTTAAAGTTATAAGAAAATATATGAAAAAATGTCTCATATAAACTTTATTGTATATAATCTATGTAGGCACAGAACTAGAAATAAGTTTAATAGCCCCTCTTTTTGATAAAAGTATTTTTTTAAATATTTGTTTCATTACATTTTAACGTTACCAAGATTTAAGCTCTTCATCTTTATGTGATATACATTCACCTGTTAGTTCTATTTAGAAAAACCGTTTTTAAATGTGATTTATATCACAAAAATTCGACATTAGTTAAATGATCATTGGTAACAAAAAGAAAACGACTTTTTTTAAAAAAAAAACCTACTAATTCTAGTTTGAAACAATTTAACAATATATACGAAAGAAGAAGTTGTAACCTTTGCTTGACTACAGAACAACTTATACATTAAATCGACTGATACGACGTCATTAAAGCATGCACATCAATGACGAGTCTTTAACATGTTTTTTTTTACCTCAGTCAATAAACCACAATTCTTATCCAATAGCATGGAATGATAATTTACTCATTCCTAATTTGGTTGATTTAACAGATGAGTTGGTTTCTGACTAGAAATTCAAGAATTCCAGCTTGATGTTAGACACTAATAAGAATTTAATTTTTGTTTTGTTTAAATGAGTTTTTTTTTCAAAGTGAAGAAAGTTTTAAACTATGAGAAAAACATTTTGTTTATGGGAGAATCCATGGAATATTTCAAAATATACGTAAATTCGTTATTTTTTTCTTTTCTATTTCTCTAAATAGTAGAAATGATGAATTCAGTAAATAGAAAATTTTTTAACAGTAGGATTTATTTACAAATTGTATATTCGTAATATAAAACATATCTGGAGGGATAACTACCAAGAGGAATCGTATATTACAAATAAATACTGTAGTGGTAATACTTATAATAGTCATGTCAATCAAATGATAATAAACAATAACACTTTATATCGTTTCGTTGACTGAACTGAACTAATGGCTAGCAGTGGAATCCAGGACGCGCGTTTCGTCCTGTTTGGGACTCGTCAGCTGGATGTATCTGCATCTCAGAGTTTATGTTCACTCTGGGACTCGAAGTCAGTACCGTTCGCTTCAAATTGAGGCAATATCGAGGCATACGCACAGTATGCACATATGCCAATAAGAGACTGATCAATTTCAGTCCTAAAACATCAATGGGAAGATTCAAGTAAAACAATATCAAGTGAATTGAACTGAACTAAGTTCCATTTAATGATGAACAGTTGAAATTTTTTTCAAATCTTTGCAAAATCACTTAATTAATTAATTACTAGTTCCGTTTTAATTGACGAGATTAACATTGAAATGAACTTAGTAATGTTTCGATTGAATAATCACCATTTGTGTTTAAACAAACAAATAGGAATTAGATAAAAGCTTACTGATAAAAACGGGATAATACACAATATTACACAACTGCTATCCATTGACTGCGATGGGTAACTGTCTTACATCTGACAGGCATTGAACTCGGGATTCACACTTGGAAATTATACAATCTCGACGAATCCTCTGTACTAACAATGGTGTAACAGTTAAGTTTGCTTTACTTAAGAATTTTCATTAAGTAATGATTTATCTTGACTGGTTATTTATTAACCTGATATTTTTTGTAGATATTCGTAACATACATAGTATGCCTTTTATTGATTGTTACTCAAATGATCAATCACCGATTGTTCGGACAAAGCCGTTAATTAACCCAAATATCTCATCAACTAAATCATTTGAACAAATTAATCGGTACAACAATATTTATACATGTGATCCTAGTGTGTTTTCATTTACTAATGATAATAATAATGAACTGGACATAGTTGGTTTGTCGTCAAGAAATAAAATAATGTACTATCCTATTCATGATAAACAATCAATAGTCGAAGATTCAGTTGATACTTCACAGCCATCATCTGCGACAACTCATCCGATTCATTCCTTAATTAATAATTCCAAGCCTTGTAAGTTATTGCTTTTTATTCTCGTATTTCTGGTTTTTTCTTCACTAATAATTAAACTGTTTTTATGAAGTTGGGTTCAGTTTTAATGACAGTTTGGTAGCTGGCTCACTTTGATTATCCGATATGACGCTGTTGCTAGCTTCTGATGCAATCTACTGTCAAATAACGACTCCTGTAGTAGTGCTCAAAGATCTACAAATTTGAGTGCTGCATATAAGTATTTTATAAGGTCCACACTGAAATGATCTCTAGGTAAACATGTGTACATTAGCCAGTTTAAACTTATATTGTAAAAAACATTCTATAAATACTAAAATACGGAACAATCGAAACTGTTTTTGTTTGATTTAATTAATACCATGATGATTATATTGCACTGTAAAACTTATCACTATGGGGCTTATTATCAAATTGTCTAAAAATCTCCGGTTAACGATTGGATCATTTAGAAGTGTCTACAGCGTATACTTTATTTTGTTGTAAAAAAAGCTATTGTCAAATACATAACCAGTTTGTAGGTTAGTAGTAGTTTACGAACCCCTTCATCTTAGTAACTTCCAGTCTATTTAAATGAATTATTTCTGTTGTGACTGTTGGCCGGTTAAATATCACGTGATTTACTCGCCAATCAGAATACGATTTATGCTATCTTAGCACTGTACCAAACCAATGACGTATTGACCTGCATGAGCAGCCTGGCGTCCTTATTGGTCCTTTCTCCTGCCTAGCTTTGCCTGTTGATTCCAGAACACCAATATCAGCTTCCACTATACGAATCACTTATGTCAAACATACCTGCTTCATATACAAGCCAACCGGACCACATCGTACCATAAAATAAAAAATAACAATTGTACAAGATCAAGCCAAATAGTCACTGTGATTGTGGGAGACTGCAATTAATAAACTGGGCATAATTTAAGAATAGTAAATCGTATGGTAAATATGTAGGTCAAAATAAACCTGATAATAAGAGGAATATAAATATGCATAATCTGGTTACTGAATATGTATATAATATTGGTCCATTAATCGCTCTCAGAAGTTACTCAGAATTTAATCTGCGCTACTATATAACAATTTCACTAATCTGATAAATTATGATCAAAATAAAATATAAGACGTCATTAACTTTACAGTTGATAATTTTTATCACGAATTGACAATTAAACTGGAGAATTTATTTGTTCTAGTTTAGGACTCCTCCTCAGTATTTCATATAAAACTTAAGTACTTTTTAAGACATTACAGAAACAATAAATAGTAGTGCAATAAGTCATTTAAATTTACGAACATAGATAATTTGTAAAATATCATAAAGGTCATTTATTGTGTAACTCGTTTCTAGGTTTACGGTTGCAATAGGAATTTAGGTTCATAACAGAATTGTTCACTAAATCAGCAAATTATTATTACAAATATAAAAATGATGGTTTTTATAAAGATTTATTCAATTCAAACCTCGATTTTCATCACTATTCTATGAAATGACTTCATATTGTTCATATTATCATCATAACGGAGTATAACCAAATAACCTTACAGCAAAAGAAGCATTCATATAGAATTGTCTTTGGTAATACAATAAGGTTGATTATTATTCAATCATAATAAATGATAATAATATCTATTTTCTTGATGGAGTTTTGTTTTCTGAGCTGGATGGTTTGGTCATGGAGCTTTCATCGTTCTTCTGAACGACATCAACACCACAAACTTCAGATAGCATAGAGTTGTGGAGATTGTTGGGTTTCTAACTGAGATCATGAACCGATCAATGTTAGACCACCATTGAAAATCTGTAAGCATTGGACGGCCAATTCGTTCTAGTATGGGACTCCTCAGCAATGCTTATCCATGATCACTCATATGGGATTTGATTAATATACATATGTTCATAAATGATATCGTTATCCACGTATTTGATTATATAATATTCGATTATATTAACTTTTTATTAGTCTGCCCCTGTTTTCAATAATAATTATTATTATACATGTAACCATTTTAAGTTCATGAGTATGAGGCTACTACCTATAGTGATCAAATAATTTCTAAGGTCATTTCTAACATAAATGAACAGTTATTAAAACATTTCATTGTTTATTATGAATTAAGATATAATCAACATTGACCATAAATGCAACTATAAAGAAAATTAATACTTATATTATTAAAGTCAACAAGCTATTTATTAAAAGGGGAATAGTACTGTTTTCCCAATAAATATTGTCATTATTGTTACTATTTATTTATTTCATGATTAATTTCATGGATTGCATACTACATAGTTTGTTAACTTTCTGTGAGTGTTTTTTTGTTTGATTTCAAGGAAACTACGTAACTAGTCGTGTATATTTTATCCTATGTTAATCAAGTTACTTACGCCTGTTACTCCCAATGGAGCATAGGCCGCCGAACAGCATTTTACAACCCACTCTGTTCTGTGCCTTCCTTTATGCTAATCAAGTTATTGACATATAATTCCGATTCAATGAAGAGATTTCTTTTTAACAAATTTATTATCAAGTTTTTTAATTGTACGTATATAAAATCTTAAGTATGAACTTCGTGAGGACATATGAACAATGAATAAACAGATATTGTAAAAGAAAGATTATGATAGTAGATTATATAGTGTAAATAATAAAAGCCATGTAAAAATTAACAAGTTAACAAGGGTTTTTCTTTTGTGAATGAAATAAGATAATTAAAACGTTTTCGTTACAATAATTTGAGGTATAAAAGGGGTTAAATGAAGTGAGGTGACATTAGAAACGATTATGAATAAAATCATGAGAGTATAAAAAAAGACAGTAGGATATCATCAAATGCAAAATAAGATAGTAACAATAATAGTGATAAAATAACATTTTATGATCATGAAATGAAAACGATAAAAGGTAATTCGTTTATACATAAAGTTCCGGCTACGTTTCATGGATGGAAAGAACTTCTACTGTTTTAAGAATTTAAATACCAAGAAATATTGGTAGATTTGAATCGATTATATAAATAACCTTTGGATCGGTGAACTAATTATAATCAATTGAATGCTCAAGAACAGATCTCACTGTTTTCCTCTTACTCCTGTAGAACCACACTGGTACATCTCGTATCCGACTTGAAATTAAGCACTGGTTACGGCCTATGTACTTTGCTCTACAAGAGCAGGTAAACTGGTAAATGCACATAAACGAGAAAGCTTATCTTTTAAGAATACAAAAATCAAAATTCTTACTAGCAAATACTAGTCGTATATATTCATATATTTCACTGTTGAAACTGAACTTAACATTAAAGGTGCAATATGACAATAACTCTTTCAAGTGGTTATTCGGCAAGCCTACATCTATGTTGTTAGAATACACTCATAGATGTAGCATATAACGGTACGCTAGTGAACAGAGATCAAACATCAAGCTCTTCAAACTGGAGCAATTAACAGCTTTGATTTTATTCCATTTACTCGAATTATATAGTTTAAGAGAATTTAAAACATGCAGCTTTCCACTGGTTATTACAGCAACGTTTTTTTACTGCAAATCGAGTTTCAAATAGTTTGTTCACATTTGAATATCAGACGTTTTCTGACAGTGATATATTTTCTTTAGCCCCAGTTGATTTAGTACTTCTGCCCTACAATCATTTTTAGACTAATCTGGTTGATAAGAAACACACTAAACAAGATGTTGATGATAAAAAGCAGATGTAATTATGTATTTGTCAATCATAAGACAGTATGATTATTAAATGTATTCAATGGTTCGGATGAAATCTTTCTAACTACTGATTATCTTACTACTTGGTTGTTTAAACTAAAATTTTGAATTCGAAGCTTCAATATAATCGTTGGAAGTCAAGTGCTTATATCAGGACAACATGTAAACAAGAGATTTCGAATTTAATAGAAAAGCTAAAATAGGTATCAAACGATAAGATATTTGAGATCTAATATAAAAAATGAGTACATTCGCTAATATTCTAGTCGCTTTTAAATCATATCAATGAATCTAAAGAAGATTCGTTAAGATTTAACAGATAATATCATATGAAAACTACAAGACTTGATCTTGAATTTACGTCATAAACTAGATACGAATATCTTTTGGTAGTGCATGTAAAAAACTGCTTTCAGATACACTATGGGATAAGGTTTGATAAAGATATATTGCATCCAGTCAGAAAGGAAAATGAAACTACACCAGTAAATTAAAGTACTGCTTTTCTTGTGTATCTCATAAGTAGTGGTAATAGGCAGTAAGTAGTAAAAGGCACTAGAGATTGTTTTCCAGTTCAGTAAGTTTATTATGATACTTTGTATTGGATTCTTATATTTTATATTCATAAAATTTGAAACATATGACTTATATTTTAAGTTCCACAGATAACATATGTTTAACATTGACTTCCTCAACTTTAGGTGAAGGATCAAATCCTGTTGAAAATCAAAGTTTGGGTAGAATTAGTTCATCCGATATCATTGTAAATTTGTTAACACGTCTTAGTTCAATGGAAAAGTAAGTTATCATATCTAAATATCTGAGCATTTTATTTCTCTTAAAATTGTTTCTTTGTATCAGGTAACAGTTATTGTAATCACATAGTTACTTGTCTTTTATTTGGAGTCATCCACCTTCACTAACATTTATTTGTGCTTAAAAATCCAACAGTTAGTAAAACATTCTGATAACACAAGAACGCTTATTTACTATCATGATCAAGAGATTAGAGCTATAGGGAGGACACATTGAGATATAGTTTGAGTAAAGTGCCAAACAGAGACAGTAAATCGGATGGCAAAATTGTAAACTAATGTCGATCAAGTTGGTTGGGATACATGTTATGCACACTTAGTTACTGATTACCACGACGCAATTCCCTAAGTACTATAAGTCTAATTTAGAGAAGCTGATGGCGAGCAAATCAACAAATGATAACAGTTTATTAATTCATTGGCTATTAAGCTGGGCCATAACAGTGAATACACGCTCCCTAATTGTGGTCCGTGCAATCATTGTAATTGATAGTTCGAGCACTAACGTCTCGAAAGTAGTCATGGTAGTGTGAATATATTCATTCTTCCATCCGTATTTTGAGCACAATACTTTTCTATACTTCTCATTCCATAATCACAAGCACAGATGACGGGACTTCTTACATTTTAGAACTGAATCTGAACAATTATTTGTAAGCAAAGTTGATCAACTAGATAGATAGATTTCATACATCACTGACTCGAAGAAGGTAGCTTGCATACAAATAAATAGTAACATTATTCTCTTTAAATACATACTTATGATGGCTGAGACACGTGTTACGTATGCCCAACCACCAACTGCCTCGACGTGCGATGCTCAATGGTATAGGTTGGAAGTAAGCTAGGGGCGGCCAGACCAAAACACGGCATAAGTCCATGGAGTTACTGACAAGTGGACCGAGCCGTGTTGGTAGGTGTAGACTACCTGGTTGGGGACTGCGAGATGATAGCAACCGATGGTTAGAGACCTTAAATGACATGGCTCAAAATCGTTTGCAATGGCGCAAGTGCATCCACTCTTTGTGTTCTCCCAAATTCTAATCTTCTGAATTCTTCATGTCCTTTATTTTCTTTCCAAATTTATCTCACTGTATTATAATATATTCGAACCCTAATGTTTCCGACTACTGCTTATACTCTTACTGCCTCTACCACTACGTAATTTGAGTCGACAACTGCATCTCTGTGCTAATGTGGTGTGGCGATTCGAACTGATGTGCTTACGTACGAAGTTCTACGTTTTTACTGACTGACTGACATACTTATGATATAATGGAAGGTATGTCGAACATGAGATTTGACTTTGACTTATTTTCACAAATAAACCAGTCTTATCTGTATTTCTAATTATCAATCCATCAGACGAAAGATTATCTTCTATCAATCATAGTGAAATTATAAGATTAGATTTTTTTAATATTTATTTGAGTTATTTAATAATAATACTCATTGTATTATATTCTCTTCTTATTTTTGTAATCTATATAGCAATTTGTTATCATTAGAAAAGAAATTGAACACTGAACTTAATCAACTATCTCAATTAATTGATATTTATTCATCTTGAATATAAAATAATCATTTAAATGATTCATATAGAAAGAAATTTTCTTATCATTATTTCTATATCATAATATATTATGTAATAAGAATTTTTTTTCCCATTTTATTCAGCATTTCATATTGTGTATAATGTTTTTCTCATACTAGTAGTAATGTACAGTTTAACGAGAGTTTAATAATTCAAGGAAAACATTATAAATATTTATTCAGAAAAACAAATGCATGTTTTGCTCCTTTCACTGTTTATAATAATAATAATAATAATAATTATTATTATTATCATTATTATTATACATACATTCATACATATATGTCTACTCCAATTGTATAATTATTGACACTTATTACTGTATATAATTTTGTCTTACAAGGAATTTTGCTTATTTTTTTCTTTATCTACATCAAATTGACTTTTTGTAATCTTCAGTAGAACTGAGCAGATGAAAATATTTCCTTTGAAAATCAAACAAACAAACAATCTATACCTTTACCAGTATGATTTCTTAATGATATTGTTTACCTCTCTTCTAAAATATATCTATATTAAGCAAAGTGTATACATACATTGAATTAATGTAAAAGTATACTCACTTTTAAAGGAATTTACGTACATGTAATTGTCAGTAAAGTTTTTATGTTTCCTGTATGGTTCTGGTTTATCTTTTTCAAATTTCTTAATCTTTTCCTACTAACTACACAATACTAATTTATATATTGTTTAATGATTTTTAAATAATACAACAATTACGGTAGTAATCTGCGTTATTATCCCTATTTACCTTGCATTGCATTTATGTCAGTCTATCTTTGCTTATTTTCATAACAAAGAGGAAAATGGTAGTTTTGTTTCTATAAAATGGAATGTAATTATAGCTGTGAAAACATTTATTTTAACATCTTAATCAAATAGTATAATGTACACTTAATCTTTCCCTACAATATAGTATTTCATTATCTGTAACATGTATATAGTTCTTTCGGTTATGAATTTTTTAAGGTAATTTTTGTGACGCAGTTTCTTAGAACTGATACTGATACGCATTCTTCCTATACACAAAACCGGCTACTCAAGATAAAATAGTAAGTGCAAGAAAGTTCATTTGGACTTAACCAATTCAAGAAACAACTGTATATGTCTCATCCCTTGACCAATCACACGCATTTATGATTGGCTCTTTATGTCCATAACTAGACTTATACATGTAGTAAATAATGCTGTGTAAAATCTGAATATACAACTGCAAAATTGCAAAACCAGAGTGGCGCATTCTTCATTTAGGAATAGTAGTTCCCCCAAGAGTGGTCAAGACAGCCCATAAAACACAAATTGCTCACCCTGACAATAACATCATGGGTCTTATTGCAGTGAAATCCAGTGACCGAATACTCTGTACTCTATTAAAGTTTTTAAATATATTGCAATAAATGAGTTCCTAAAATGCTAGGTTTTAAGCTATCAAGAGTTCACTTAATCGGCGAACGAGAACAAGACTCGGTGACCAAAGACTAGTAAGCTAGCTATTGATGCGTCCCAGCCCCGCTAACTAGAGGGAGAAGTTCAAGCTTGGAATGGGAAGTATATTCTGCGAAACAGTCAGAAACGAGCGATAACAACAAACAATTCAAAACATATACAGTGCAAAACCGTCCTTGAGGGGGGGGTTACCAAATAGCATACTAAGAAACGCAACGGACCAATAGCATTTAAGATAGTTTCCAGTGGGAAATATGACATGAAGGTTACAAGAGCGCCTTTGGTGCGAAAACAAAGAAATTCGAATTTTCTAAATAAAATTACAAAATTAGGTCCTTCTCCAACTGAGTTCTGGGGATCTAACGTCCCCAACATAAAAGCAAAAAATATATATTTGCATTTCAATTTAATTTGGATTCTCTCGTCGTTGATTTTTTGGTAGGAATGTGATGTTTTGGTTGACTACGTGCATACTGTGGGGGATTATTTCGATATGGCCATCATGACATAAGTCAATACAGAACAGATGAGATGCAGGTACATCCAGCTGTCGAGTCTCAAACAAGACAAATGTGCATCCTAGACCCCACTGCTAGCTACATTCCATCTGTTCTAAATCTTATGTTTTCAGCACTAAAGAAATGATTATCTTATGAATCTTTTTGGCTTAGTAAACTAATCTTTCTAATTTCTGTTTTAAGTCAATTCTCGACTTGTCAAATACAAAGTTCCCAATCGAGTATACTTAAAAGCATTGATTTATGGGGAATAAGTCATGTTTTGACAGATTAATTTTACAGCTTATAATGATGATATCTGTAATAAGCCTAGATTTTCTTTTCGCCTGATGCACGTCATCACATTATTGCATATCAATAATATGCAGTTCAACCATAGGATTTTCAAAAAGTTTATATGGTATTATATTCATTGTGTCATTGTTGAACATATTACAAACAAATTACTAAATATATATATTTGTTGATAATAGAAATTAACATCACAACATCATCGTATGCACCACGAAAAAAACTACAACAACCTTTAGTCCTATAACCTAATTTGACGACGACCACAGCATTGGTCTCTAACTGTTAATGTACACATTAAATGACCATTATATATATAAGAAACAATTACTACTATAACTATGTACTATTTATTATCACAGTTAATACAATCCAAAACAACGAACTCATAAAAAAATTGAGCGTAAAATGGATACAGATAAGAATAATTTAAAATATACAAAAATAAATAAAGTTGTGTACACAAATAACAATAGTAGAATGTAATAAAATTGAAAAAAGAGAATAAGTATTATACACACTATGATAAACTATTTATTGTATCAATTTCAATATGATTATTGGATGTATCACTTATATTGACTTGTTCATCTAATGACATTGTAACAACCTTTGAAGTATTATTCACAACAGAATCTATTGTTACCTTTTCATTATTTGTCAATGAAATAAGATTAAGATTGTTATCAGAATTATTATTTAATAATACAGATTCAATTGATGATATTGATGGTTGTAAATTTGACCATTTTATATAAATAGGTTTACAAATTATTTGACATAAACTTGATAAAAGTGGACGATGTAATAACATAGGATTATTATTATTATTATTATTATTATTATTACAATTTGGTATTTGAACATTATTATCAATCTCTTCAACAAATAAATAATTAATTAAATTTGCCAAAATACAATAAGTTAATGATGTACAAAATGCATTAGCTAAATAATAAACATCATTATTTAACCAATTATCAATTTGTTGTTCTTTTAACTGATCATAAATTTCTGTTATAGATAATGAACAAGCATGTAAACCATTTGATATAATAATAATAATTCTAAAAATATTTTTAGAAAAAAAAAGATAATAATAATAATCAAGTATGAAATTGTTTTCTATTTCACTTTCATCTTTTAATTATTTAAATGATAATGAACAATAAATAATATTAAATGATTAATTGAATTTTAAATGAAAGGGTTAAAGAAAATTGTAGCTTAGTTAAATAGTTTAATGAATCTCAGCAGATATATACATATTTTTTTTTATTTCAGTTAACTACAGATGTATTTTATTTATTCATTTGAACGCATAAATATTAATACAAATGGGCAACGAATACATATGCACCACACAAGTCACTTGATTTGTATGTAGGCTATGATACTGCCCGGGTGCCCAGACCGAAGCAGGTGGTTTTCCTAGGGGGTCACACACACGGAGCCTTCGACATAAAGATCTAATCCACAAGGCAGTGGAGCAACGTCAGGAGATGCAGTTTCATGGTAGATGGTGACCAACTATTGGTTCGTACACCATTTGTTTCTTTAGGATCCTGGAGCGCATGTATACCGTTGACTTAAAATCAAGGTTTCCCCACTCCTTTAGATAGACACTCCATATCCACCAACCCGGTTAAACCGCCGGATATTCGTTTTTTGTCCTCTCAATTTTGTAAACAACCCTCCCGCCAGGAGAATGCAGTGAGTAGGAGTTCCCTGACAGTGACTATATACACGTGGCCATGTGAGAGCATTTTGAGAGGGAGAGTGGACTCTCCCTACCCTCGGTCGTACCAGGGCATTCGAGGGCAGATGTACAACAAAAAGAAATTTAATTAAACAAGTCTCAATCATTTGCAACTACATGAAAATCTTGAATGTATATTTCAAGAATTCTTCACAATCGGGAGATTATAAATCAATTAGAATCTATCAATTATACAACACATTGAAAATAATAATAGGTAATTAATCATGTCACAAATCTGTAATTAAGCATAAATTGTTTGGAAGTCAGTGGCATGGTATTATGACACAGAAAAAATATTGAGAAAGCTCTAATTTTCAGAACTATCTTATAAAGAATTCTTGTTGATATTTGTGTTGTATAATTAGCAGACATTTTGAATTATTAAATTCTGATATTCTCTTAATTGTAGTTTATTTTGTTAAACTTATAAACTAATGTTGTATGCTTTATCTTATTTAAGCTACTGTTTATTAATCACAGATCGATCACTTAGTTCGTGTTTCACTTATGTTTTAGTTATGTGCAGATCTCCAATGTTAATGATAAATTAATTTTCTTATGTTGATTAGCAGTCAAGAAATTAGTTTAGATTACCATATGACTTGAGTAGTATAACAAAACGGCTACACAATAGAGATATGTGATTGCAAAATCCAACTTCTTATTGCACACTAACTTGGAAGGAACTCAAGGACCAATAATTGTTAAAGTCCCAGTCGTTGTTCACTGGTTAATAATATTATTGGTAAATTAAGTCATTGATCCAACAAGTGGTATAAGCGAAATAATCTATAAGTGGACACGATAGTTATGTGCTCTAATGATAAGTAACATGATCACGCGTGGACAAAACAAAATTGTTCGTTTCTTTTTAAGATACAACACACAATTACGACACAAAGTTCCGTTTCATGTAAGGATTGTGATACACTACTAAAAAGGCCCATATTTAGATGAATACCTGTACTTAGCTTTTCAATGGTTCTTCAACTAGAGTCAATTCGTGATGAAAATCACCTTTATTATGTACGAAAATCTCTAAAAAGCTATTTCACCTAAAGTTTATAATTTGATAATGTGACTAATAAATTATAAATTACTGATTATATCGTCTAGTGTGAACCAGTCCTTTCGAAGATCAGTTTGAATTTTTACTTGATTAATTATCCTAATTACTAAGTAGTATAGATAGGACTGCATAAATATTGCTATTGATGCAGTCTGGCCTGCACATTCTCATTTACACTAACTCTACTGGAATAATAAAGAAGGAGATTAAATTTTTAAAGATACAAATTTTTAGTTCCGGAGGAATCCCACCATTTTAAACTTCTAGTTGTGGCGTCCAGTTATCTAAGAGGAAAAATAGTCAGTAAGAGGAAAAGAACGATTATCCGAAACAAACTAAGTATAATTGTGAATCCATATTGTTTGTCATTCGGTGTACACAACGTATTTTCTACTTGCTGACTTTCAATCGCCGTGTCAAGGTCATTTGTATTTTCAGCCTCCATCATGTGGTGACAAATTGATGTTATTTTTAATCATTTATCGATTTTCACATCTGGTTGGATACAAAGACCAAATAACGTTCACAGAGTCAGTCAGTCAGTAACAACGTAGAACTTCGTACGTACGTACATCAGTTCGAGTTGCAACACCACATTAGCACAGAGATACAGTTGTCGATTCAAATCCCGTAGTGGTAGAGGTAGCAAGACTATAAGCAGTAATCGGTAAGATTAGGGTTTGGAGATGTTCTTTAAAGAGTATAATACAGTGAAATAAATTTGGAAAGAGGAAAAACGGGACATGAAGAATTCAGAAGATTAGAATTTGGGAGAACACAAAGAGTGGATGCACCTGCGCCATTGCAAACGATTTTGAGCCATATCATTCAGGGTCTCTAACAATCGGTTGCTATCATCTCGCGGTCCCCAACCAGGTAGTCTACACCTACCAACATGACTCAGTCCACTTGTCAGTGACTTCATGGATTTGTGTCATATTTTGGTCTGGCCGCCCCTATCTTTCTTCCAACCAACTCCTATACCACTGGACATTGCACGTCGAGGCAGTTGGTGGTTGGGCATACGTAACACGTGTCCCAACCATCTCAACTGATGAAGTTTCACTACTTCATCAATTGATTTGCCATCCTTACCTAGTACCCGTTTCCTAACAACTAAATTACTTACTCGATGGTCCCATGATATACGAGCAATGTTTCGAAGACACCTATGGTCGAATACTAGTAACCTACGAATATCCTCTACTCTTATCGGCCATGTTTCACTGCCATAAAGTAGGATGGAACTAAGTGCTGCACAGTAAACCCGTCCTTTGGTTGGTAGACGGATATCTCGCCTACGCCATAAATGACGCAAGTTAACAAAAGCTAGTCGAGCCTTCTGTATCCGTGCTGAGATTTCGTCACACACCATTCCACAATGGCTGATGAGACTTCTAAGATAAGTGAAGCGGTCGACACACTCAACTACTTCACTCCCTATCACTAGTTCGGGTGTCGATGTAACCCAATCCTGAAGCAAGTTTTTGCATTTCGAGGGAGAGAATCGCATCCCGAACATGCTTGCATTGTTGCTTAGAGTGGTCAGAGGACTCTGCATTTTGTCAGCGTCTTCACCAAATAAAACCATGTCATCTGCATATTCTAAGTCACCAAGTGAACCTCCCGGTAGAAGTTCAACCCCTGGAAATTTAGATGAGGAGAGTGTTATCTCTAAAAGTACGTCGACCACAAAGTTGAACAAGAATGGGGAGAGTGGACAGCCCTGACGAACACCACTTGAGGTAATCAATTCTGATGACAGTTCGTCATAAGCTATACAACCACGTCCAGGTCGAAAACCGGCCTGGTTTTCTCTAATCTGCTCTTCACGAGCTTTGATTAGGCGTCGAAGTATTATTGAAGCTAATATTTTAGACACTATATTAGTCAAACTGATTCCTCTGTGATTGTCACAAGAGGACTTTTGTCCTTTCTTATAGACTGGCACAATCAGTGATTGAGACCAGTCAGATGGGATTACGTCCAGTTCCCAAATTCTACCTAAGACCTCGGTTAATCTCATTGCTAATACTGGACCACCATCCTTAAAAATCTCAGGAGTAAACCTGTCAGGGCCTGCTGCTCTCCCTCGTTTCAGATTTCCTATGGCTTTTTCAACTTCGTAAAGGGACGGAGGACCTACATTAACTTGCCATTCAGGTTGACTAGAGATCGTGGGAAACCGAAGTGTGGCTGAAGGCCAGTTGAACTGATCCCTAAAGTGTTCTGCCCATCGATCCAATCTCCTGGATTGAGAATGAATAATATGTCCATCTTTCTCTGAGATTGTTTCGCTAACGGTCGGGTTCCTAATTCCGGTTTCCTTAACGAGTCTGAACAATTGTCTGCTATTACCTATTGCCGCTGCCTTTTCCATCTCTCTTGCTTTCGCTACCCACCACTGTTCGCGATCATTGCGTAGACTTCTTGTCAGCTTGCGCTTAAGCTGACTCCGCTCTTCATTATGTTCAGAGCCAGGTGGAATGAGTTTCCGAGCATCTATCAGTGCGATAGATGCTGCTGAGATCCAGTGTTGCTCCCTAACCTTCTGGTTTACCTTACTAGCAGATATCACTGCTGTTTCCACAGCTTTTCGGATATCATTCCATGCTGCATCGGGGTGGGCATCACATACATGGCTGCCTAACTGTTTTCCTAGTTGTTCCTGAAATATACTCTTAGCTTGACTATCATTAAGTAGGCCCTAAGAGGTTTCCTTGCAGCGTCTTTCCTACGTCCAGTAAGACGCAAGCAAATACGCGCTCGCACTAGAGCATGATCTGAATCTAGGCATGTGCTCCAGAATGAGCGACAGTCTTCTATCGAGCCCCTCCATCGGTGGCTGATAGCGATGTGATCTATTTGGGTCCAACGTTGGGACGAATTAGGGGGTCGCCATGTTAAAAGATGTTTTTCCTTATGCTTAAAGTTAGTATTTGCAAGGAACAGGCGGTTATCTGAGCATAGCTGCAACAGACGGTCGCCATTATCTGTTCTTTGAGCCACGACACCATAAGATCCACCTAGGTGTCTTTCCTATCGCTTAGTTTACCTACTTGAGCATTAAAGTCACCGGCCACTATTACTACATCCGAGCGCTAGCTTTTCGGAGAAGGTCCGAAAGCTTTCTGTAAAACTCATCTTTTACATCATCTGAGCTGCAGTCAGTGGGAGAATAGGCAGAGACGACGAAGAGGCAACGACGAGTGTCCCTATCTTTCCGGATTCTTACTGTTCCGTTCAGTCGGACAGCGCACAAACGACTGTCTACTGGGATCCACTCTAAGAGAGCTAGTTCTGCCCTAGGACTCAATGCTATACCTACGCCGGCGAGGCCACGGGAAGCAGAATCAGGGCTTCCAGATACACGAAGCGTAAATCGAGTCGGTTCTTTATTTTGGCATGGTGAGGTCAAATGAATGACGCTACTTGGATCCTGTATGCGCGTTTCGGAGACGCAGCACACATCGATGGCGCGAGATTCTAAAGTTTTAGCTAAGGAAGCCTGCTGTCCTATTTGGCAAAGTGTTCGTACGTTAAAAGCTCCTACGTGTAGTTTAGAGCGTGGTTTCAGGAGACCAGGAATGGCGTTCCACGTACTCGAATCGTTTGCCCTAGCGGTGCGAGGTGATAAAGAGACGTGAGGAGGGTTAGTCATGGAGATAAGAGAGGTATTAGGAGGTGTAGGAAGGATTTGAATGTGACCACCTTGGTCTCTTGTGCTGTTACGGGTATGAGGGCTGATGTCACTTCCCGGCTGCCCACACCGTGGAAGGGTATTTCTTGAGGAACCTGAAAAGGAAATTGGATTAGTGTTGGTCTTGACGACCTGGGAGCGTGACCGCAGAGCCCAAGGGACAACTGCTTGAGGCCGGTCGCGCACGGCCTTTTTGTGGAAGGTTTTTGACGTGTTAGCTCCGTTCTTCAAAGGGCCTTACCGCCGGAGACGGAAATCCGTGAGGTAAGGTGAGGTGTGACATTTTTAGGGTCGACCTTTTCTAACCCCACCCCTCCTTGTGGGAAGGCAGCATCGCTGTCATGCTGGTTGTCCGAGGGAAACACCTTACTGCTGTCACACCTCTCTACAGTCAGCAGTACGACTTCGCCCTCAGACCTTGAGTTGCTGCTTTTAGTCTTACCGTTCACCAATCGACCTGCCTGGCATGGTAGAACCTACAGGAACATATGTTCCAGCCAATATAGCTCGGTTGGGTCATCACGATAGGCAAGCCCGACCACCGCGTCAAGGTAGCAGCTTCGATCGGGAGCGTTCACAGAGCAAATAACATGTGATGAAACATCATAAACGTAACTGCAATATGCCACAATTCACTTCATCATTACAACAGTACGAAATACGTCAGATTTCCTAATCAGATATCAAAATCTTAAGGTTCTTTGAAACTGAGGGTCATAGACTGAATTTCATAACTATTTGGCTCGTGATATGATGGGTCAGGTTGTACTTGATTTTAGAGTAAACTTATACAACTGATTCTTTTTAATCGCCCATGATATATCGTCATGTTTATTTTGTGTCGTTACTTTGTAAATAAGCAGCCTTTCTGCATATATAATCCATGATATTCTATGAGTTTTCACACTATATATGACATTAAAAAGGGACTAGGGATTACAAAACAGTACGCTTAAGCTGAGAACATGTAAAGTAGGATTAAACTTTCTATACTGGTTCGGTTCCCCTACAAAACTACGAGTTCGCCCCTAACTGTGCCTGTCTAATTTATTAAAAATTTATTTCGAGCCCAATCTCACCATCCATTATCATTTATATCCTTTTCTATACAGAAGTATGACTGTCTAGTCTTTGTACCTATGTGATCTAATTTTCGAAAAGCCTCAAAGAGTTACAACTTACCTGTTTTTCAAACCAGTTGGACAACAGATATTTAATCCATGAAATAATTCAACAAAATGATTGTAAAGCAGTATTAGTGGAGGGAATTCTAGTAGTATATTAGTCAGTTTTGTAAAAGAATTCAATTCACTGTTATTTACTTCTTCATGAGTTGTTCCATTAATCTGAACACTTTCATCAGATGGAATTCGCCAAATAAAATTAGTAAGTGCAAATTTAAACTCGATACAATATTGTCAATATAATTCTACAAAAAATAATGGAAAAAGAAAAAAAACAGGGAACTATTCTATCTTGGAAAAAGTCTCCTAGCATATTTACTTTATAGAGTTCATTTATAATCATTAATTCAAAGCTTAGTCATCCATCTTTAATAACAAGTGGTGACTGCCCGACTGATATTTTATTATTTGATTTTAAAGAATTGATAATGCATATAAATATCTAAAACATAGATGAATTGAGTATATTTAGCTTTTACTTAAGTTTACCTCTGGAATAGCCTATTAGGAACTGACCCTCTTACGTCCTTTCAGTCTTATTAAAAGTTGTGGAATTCCTGTCAGTTTCTTATTTAGGCTGTTTATAAATAGTATGTAACTGAAAAATAGGCTAGAGGTCAGTTGAACTGTCCTTTCGAATATTCAGCACGTTGTTGTAATCTGCTGGACTTGGAATCATGATCCACTCTATCTTCTTCTTAAATATTACACACTGTGGAGAGACACTTCTTCTTGAAGGATTCAGGAGTCAAACTGGGTTAAGGATGATTTTGTCAACTCGGTAGCGTGATCGCAGAGCCAAGAAACAACTGCTTAAAACAGGCCACATAACTGTCTCATGAGTAGTCTCTGATGCATAAGCCCCAGACTCTTCAAATCTTAATGCCGCCTACGGAAGTCCGTGAGATAAGGTGAGTTCGACTATACACGATCCTTTCTTCCATTGTGAGAAAGCATCACTGCTGATGATGGTAGTTGTCTGGTGCAAACATCTTCCGTCACACTCCACTACAGTTGGGAGTACAACGTCGTCATCGGACCAACGTTCGGTACTTTTATTTCTATTGCTCTCCAACTGACCTGCCTGATGTGATACTACCTCGCTAATATAACTTGACTGGGCCATCAGGACCGGTAGGCCAGACCACCACGACGAAGTAGCACTGTAATCGGAGGGATGCTTAGTACGCCGTCACTAATACAAACCCACAAATATTCTATGTCAAGCCATTTAGTGCTAAAATAAGTTGTACACAGTTTGTGGGACATTTTCACGCAGTACTAAACATTACAAATTAAGATGTGTCTGTCAAGCCCACATGAGTTATTCTTGCTTCTAGACAGATCAGATTATTTATTCTTCTTGAGTAACACTGTGACCTCGTCAATTATTGACTTATAACCTTGGCTGCTTTTATATGAGCGCGTGTGTATTGATTACCCGATTCATTATGTGTTTTCAGTTTATTTTTATGTGGTTATAAATATTGAGTCACGTTTTATCAAAACAAGTTGGCTTACTCGCCTTCTCCGCTTTGCTTAGCTTTCCCATTTTCATTTTTGATGTCTGTCTGAATAAATGAGTGCTTGAAGTAAATTCATCGAATTTAACCCATATATGACTCTTTATTACCGCTATCACCCAGACGGCGTTAGCCTGGGTAATATACGAAGTTAAATGGAAGATTTATATTCATGGTATATTTATTCGTGCTTTGAACTTGGAGTCAGATCTACGGGCCACAAAACATTCAGGAAACTAGGGGAAAATATTAATCATTACACAAACAAAATCCGGTACATAAATCAAAATACAGTAACCCTAGTGTCGGCCTAACTAACCTGATAAATGATTCAATTTGGTAACAAAAAAGGTTAGCCAAATGTGGTCTGAAATCACAGCCTATCCGATGAAATGATCGACCAAAGTACATGGATTGTGATATTAATGATTGCACCTGAGTGAATAACGTCTCTAAACAAATATTTTTTAATGATTTATTTTTGTAATTGTTAGAGTCTGTTGCAGTAGCTCTTAACAGACGATCTGTCAGCTCCTGTGGAGTACATTTAGGTTGATACATCATAGTTTGGAGGTCACTACAGAGATTGTTAAGAAATTCTGCCACTTGATTAACCAACCAAGCATGTAACAAATTTGGACTGGATTCATAATAATCCATATCTTTAGATCCCTTTAATAAATTAATTGAGTAAATTGGATTCCCCGAGTATTTAGACAGTAGTGACTTTCCTTGAATTTTCACTCCTTGTGGAAGAATACCATCTTCGTCTGGAAATACCGCCCTAAAAAAGAAAATAATAAAACCTGTACATTGAATTAGTATCTACCATTTAGGAAGAAATACCACAGTGCTACAGTTATTGGATTCCCTTAGTCCAGAAAAAGTGTATTATACACTCAAATTAACAAACGAATAAGTGGATTTCAAAATAGGGTCCAAATTTTTGGTATGCCTAAACTTCTTAGTAGAAATACACTTAAGGGATTTCAGCTTACCGTGTGAATATTACAATTTCCCATAGATCGCACCCATCCTTTCATTAATCAAGCACATGCAACAACAATATTTGGGTTTGATTTTTGATTAACCTTTGTTTGACAGTACATTTTAAAGTATACTAATAAGATGCACAATGCACAACCACTCCTAATGATTTCTAAAGTATAGTAAGATGAAATGGTAAGTTTAAAGACAATTGATGACAGATAATCAAAGCAATGACGACTAGGTTGATATAAAAGATAAAACTGAAACCTTATTGGTCATTAAATGATCATTATTTACATGCTTGATTAATAATGCTATCTGAAATGTATCTTATGCTTAAAATAATTCGATTAAATTTCTTCAAAATAAATAATCATTTTAGTTTCACAATATTTCCAATTGAATAACTAGACGTTTTGTCTGCTATACGAATCATCAGTTCAATTATCTCCATCATTTAATAAATTGCTTCCCAGTTAGCAGGACTAATCATGCAAGCTTGCTAATGGAGAAATATTTAGTCTGAGAGAAATAATAAGAAAACGGTGCATCACTCCAACACTCATTCAGTGGGTACTGTATCATAAATTGGTCCAAGTTAACTATGAATGTTAAAAAAATTATTTCAATACAAACTACTTGATTCTACTCTTACCGATACTGTGTGACTATGTCAAATAGATGTACGCGCGTTACTTCAATACGTCGTGTAGCCACCCAATAGGACTTATCATGAGACTCTTTAAAAGGGAGAAATCCTGACAGCTTTTCCCGCTTATCTACTCCAGCTAACTCCTTTGGTGTACATGCCAATAAAGATGAGTTGATTTGACTCTTAAGACAATGTGTCCGTGTCTGGAGAAATTTCAACCGTAGTTCTTGTTCACTCAATAGTCCTGTCCTACGAAGAAATACGACGGTCTGTAATGAAATGCATTCAGTTTAATTAGGAATTAAACAATGTTAGTTGTGAATAATGAAAAACTGAAACGGGAAGCATGAAACACCACGAACTTTACACAGTTCAAAGCTCTAATTTATCATATGGAATGTACGAGTGTTGTTGAAATTAGATGCAAAGTTATAAGCAGAAACATAAATCAACAGATGAGGTTATAAATCCTTCCTGACTAGCTTTGCTAGTAAATGTGTTAAGTAATGAAAAGTAATTGCCTGATCAAAATCATAAAACCAATAGGAGAAGAATTAATATGAGAAAGCTAAGTGTGAGGAGTGTGACAGGATAAAAAACAGTGGTTACATATGCTGAGTAATAATGATAGGCTGACAGGTGTGGAACAGACATGTATCAGTCTAATAAGTCACAACTTACTTCAGCACAATCGAATAAATGTAACAAGTCTGAGTATGAGCGGATGAAAACCAAGACTGACAGTAAAGGAAAGCCAAGTAAAAGGAACAGATGGGACCGAATTTGAACCACGTCAATTTAATTTCCTAACTTCTAAGACAAATGAAGTTGTCGACATACCTAACTACTTCACTCCCTATCGTCAGTTCAGGTGTTGATGCAGACCAATCATGAAGCAAAGCTTCTCATCTAGAGGGAAAGAAACGCATCCAAATATACGTATGTTTTTGTTTAAGCTGGTTGGAAGAAAGTATTTTGTCAGTCTCTTTATCAAACAGGACTGTATCATCTGCGTATTCCAAGTCAACAAGTGAATCTCCTGGTAGAAGATTGATTCCTGATAAGTCAGACGATACGTTATCTCTAAAAGAATATCTATTGAGAAGTTAAATAAAAATAGGGAAAGCAGACAATCCTTTTGAACACTTGAATTTATCAATTTTAATGACATTTTCCCATAAGCTCTGACTCGACTAGCAGTGTTAGAATAGAGCCTGAAAAAGGTAGATGCACTTATTTGGTACGTCTTTCAATGAAAGACCTTTGTTAAAGACTGGAACGATCAGTGATCGAGACCTGATATATAAGATTTAGTCCAATTCTAAGACTCTAGCTAAGATCTCAGTCAATTTAACGACTAAAACTGGAAAACTATTTTTCAAGAACTCAGAGGCAGATCCATCATGGTCTATTCCTTCCATCGCTTCAGATTACATATGGCTTTTCCTACTTCACTAATAGTCGGGGGGCTTATGTTGACAACCTATTCAAATCGCTAGGTAAAAGAAGGTAACTGGAGAGCACCTAGAGAGCAGTTGGACTGTTCTCTAAAGTGTCCTTCCAAGTTTTTCAGACACCTAGATTGATAGTGGATCATTGTCCTATCCTTATCGGAAATAGTTTTACTAACTCATGAATTTTTTATAATTGTTCCTTTGATAAGTCTAAAAAGTTGTCTGTTGATGCATATCGCTCCTGTCTTTTCATCGATTTAACTTCAGCTTCCCACCACTGCTCATGATCATCGCATAGACTGTTTATTAGTTTTCGAGAACCTATCAGTTCAGTAGACGTTAAGATAGTCACGCGAACCCCAATCAAGTAGATTGCATCTACCAACATGGCTCAGACTAGAAGTTAGTGACTTCAAGCACTGATGCCACGTTTCGGTTTGGCCGCCCCTAACTTTCTTCCAACCATCTCCAACACCAGTCAGCTTGCGCGTCGTAGCAATCGGTGTTCAGACATACGTAACATGTGGCCCGACCATCTCAGTAGGTTAAGATTCACAATCTCATCAACTGACTTACCATAATTCAGGTGTTGACGCAGACCAGTCCTGAAGCAACAACTTGCATTTAGAGGGAGAGAAGCGCATTCCAAACATTCTGGCATTGTTGCTCAGTGCTACCAGAAGACTCTGCATTTTGTCAGCGTCTTCACCAAACAGGACTATGTCATCTGCGTATTCTAAGTCGATAAGTGGACCTCCTGGAAGGAGATCAATGCCCGAGAACTCAGTCGACGAGAGTGTTATTTCCATCAGTATGTCTATGATGGAACTAAACAAAAATGGGGATGGTGGACAGTCTTGACGGACACCACTTGTGGTTGCAAAAGTAGATGACAGTTCACCATAAGCTCTCATTCGACTAGTAGTGTTCGAGTAAAGAGCCTTCACAAGGTTTATTTACTTCTGAGGTACACCTTTAAACGACAGAAACTGCCACAGAACCTCTCGGTCTACAGAGTCAAATGCTGCTTCCAAGACAAGAAAAACTATAATTTTCGGATGCCGATAAGTATGTCCGTGTTCTAGAACCTGACGAATGGTGAATATGTGGTCGATGCAGCCACTACCAGGTCTGAAGCCAGCCTAATTTTCTCGTGTTTGCAGTTCACGAGTCTTAGTTAGACGTCCCATAATTATCGAGGCTAGTATTTTAGATGCTATATTAGTCAAACTAATCCCTCTATGGTGGTCACAGGATGATTGTGACCTCTTCTCATATATTGGGACGATAAGTGATTGTGACCAGTTAGATGGGATAACGTCAAACTCCCAGACCTTAGTTAAAATATTAGTCAACCTAATCGCTAAAATTGGACCATCATAATTAAAGACCTATGGAGCCAATCCATCTGGACCAGCTGCTCTTTCTCGTTTCAGATTAGCTATAGCCTTTTGAGCTTCAGCTCGAGTTGCGGGACCTACTTAAATGTTCCATTCAGGCTGTCTGGGAATGGCGGGTAGTTGTAGAGTAGCTGAAGGCCAGCTAACTAACTACCAACTGCATTGCTAGTTGTTTTTGAAATACACTCTTGACATTTTTACTCTTGCGTTGAACTCTGAAGGATTTACTTCATATGGCTTTTCTGAGTTCAGTAAGAGGTAAACAAACACGTGCTCGTACTAGAGCATGACCAGAGTCCAGACATGTGCTCCGTAATAAGTGACAGTTTTATCGAGTCTCTACAACGATGTCTGGTAACTATATGATCTATTTTTGTTTATCATTTCTTCGACTGCGAGGGTTATCATGTCAAACGATATCTCTTTTTATGCTTGGACTTGATGATTACTAATAATAAACCGTTGTCTTAGGATAGATACAGCAGATGGTCACTGCTATCGGTCCGTTGAGATGGCTGTACGGGGTTGTGACAGCAGTGGAGTGTTTCAGGTAACTAGCATTTACAGCGATACTACCTTTTCAAAACGGAAGGTAGTGGTCAAAAAAGGTCGATCCTAAATGTCACATCTTAACTCACTCCTAAATTCTTGTCCATCATATTATGACACTACCATCAGATTAATGTAAATAAATATGCTACACCATAATCCAGTTAGTTTTTTCAATATAGAATATACTGAGAATTATTTGCAATATTTAAAAAATACAAATTGGTGTAAGAATACATACCTTGATACACGAAGAAAGAGATAGAGGTGCTCTCAACTGGTTATACAACTGATGAACAAACTGTGAAGCAACAGCAGACACTTGCGAATAAATCATACGTAAAACAGAGTACCTTGACCCATATTTACTGAACAACGTCTTAGTATAAGCAAAAATAGATATTGCGTCATCGTAATGACCATTATGCACACAAGTTTGCATTAGCTGTGGAAGTTCAATTATTTCTAGTAACTTAATGATCAATGACAATAAAAACGAAAAAAACTCTACCTGTGTGTGATTTTCTAAGGCACTTCTATTTTTTTAAGAGAGGCTTCAATGGAGCGAGTCTTTAATAAAATATCACTACAGCATTGTGTAAACTCAGTAATTTGTGATAGAAAAGCTTGATTGGCGGTTGACATTTCTGAAGTCTTCTCCAAGATATTCTGACTTGCATCTTTGGTATCTATAAAAATGTGATAATTTTCTGCAGCCAATGACTTAATCTTGTTTTTTAGAACATCGCGAACGGTCCGTAACTGATACACTGAGGAAGACAAGTTTTCGAGATTTGAAGACGCTAACTCATTGACAGCTTTTTCAAATAAGGGTTCATTTCGAATGTCTGGAGAAATATTAAGCTTTGAAATTAATTGTCTTATCCACATGGCAGGTAGTTCTTTATTATCATTTGTTGATATATTTACTAGACTCCTATTAATTTCATCCATTTGTAATCAGATTTCACTTAGCCCAGAGACGCTCAGCAAAAGATCATTTACAGCCTACAAAAGATGGAGACAGTTTTCTAACAAAAGAAATAAAAACATTTTACAGTGAAGCTTGTTTAAATGCCTCTCCAAGTTACAGATTAATTGTAACGATATACATTATTTGGCATCTCTCAAATAGCATAGTTGTCATGTCCGATAATTTACCGCCGGTTGGTGCATAATAGAAGTTCTACAACTCCAGACATTCAAGAGTTATGTAGGCTAAACGCATAGTTTAAGATGTATATATTAGCTATCTTCCTTGAATAAAGAAAATATTTGGTCCGACCAAACGAAATGTTCCGTAAGTCTAATTTTGTAAAGTATCAAACAGGTGTTTTGAGTTACTTAAGCCTTAACATTCTAACCCTCTGACACACTCGCGTTTGTGATTTCACAAAATTACCACACAGAATCTACCCGAAATTTTAACTGACAATAAGAAAATTCTTCCAACTTTCAATAAAGAATCAAGAAATCTTACTCACTCAGGATCTATTGACAAAGATTTTCTTGGGTCGAGAATTTCTTTCTAGAAATTTAACCAGCATTTCTATTGACTTTGGGGAAACGCCGTCGATTCGCTACACGAATTCCCAAAAAAGTTTTCTGATTATGGGTTTTAGTCCCACGCTTCGACATAATATCCCCAAAATTCACACTTGTCTTCGTCTATAATTTCTTCTGAAACCATGTTTAACAATCTCGGTCATTAGCGAAGCACAGCTAAATATCAGTTACCTTAAGAAACAGTCGTTACGTAAAAAGCACTAATCATGTAATACCAACTTCCATACTAGAATTATTCAATTTCCTGACAAACTACAAACGGATAGGCGGCGAGACTATGATTTATGGACGAACCAATCACGTATAAGATAACAGGTCTCGGATTGTGGTGAGAAATTCACTCATCTATTTGGCTAAATAGTTTTGGTATTATAGCTGAAGTCAGTTCATGATGAAAATTCTAGATCTAATTTCTAACCTTGATCATCAACTGTAAATCATAACTCTAATTCCTCACAACTTTATAACCCTCTTTTGGTAGCGGTTATTAGCTGGACACTCAAGGTCAATCTAGTATCCCTCAAAGGACATCCATAAATTACAGTCTCACCCGATTTGCAATATTCATTAGACGGGACGAAAATTTGCACACTAATTAGAAACTCCATTTCGTATTTGCAGATGGTCATTCCAAAGTCCCCTTTTTAGACATAACATGCAAACAGTAGACAAGTCAGAGATTTCTGATACTTAGCACGGAATAATAATTTGTATTGTGCCCTTTTATAATGTTATATTAGGGCGATGTGTATGAAGAAACATGATGCTAAATCTCGATCAGTTAACTATCACGTGTTAGTTTGTACATAATTGAGAACAAACAACATATTCTTACTCAAGTAAACTTGGGGGCATAAAGAGGAAAATTCAGTTGAACAGATAACTTGCTGATATATGGAAGAATAGTTTACTTTCCACGAAACACGTGAAATGTTTTGGAAGAATATCTGCGCTCATCTGTAGTCAAACTCGTAAAAACCCTTCATTTTTATTGACAGAACAAACAAGAAACCTCGAAATACTGAGCAGCAGACTCGAGCCTCATATTTAGAAAACCCATCTAAATGATCACGAGTAATCATTGAAAGTATTGCCACGAAGATGGTCTCTTGTCATAGTAGCAACTAGAAAATTTTAGTGGTTTCACTGCGATAAAGTGAAAATGTTCGAAGAACTATATGGACTATCTAAAATGATACTGATATGTTAACCAGGAAGAAACCAACCAATCGCCAGGTTATGTCACTTATCGAGGTGACGACCGTACCGTTGTAGGTCGAAACTGCGCGCTATCAGTAACCTTATTAAGGTTGTGTATACCTTAAACTGTGAACACTGTTGAGTTGCAATCGCACAGACTTTTAACTTTTTTATATCCTTTCACTCATTCAACCCAAAAATCTGGATTGATTGGCTAACGGGTTTTTGCGTAAGAGGGGATTTCGGACAGTAGCTATGTCAAGTACTTAGTACCTGTAACATTTTCACCATTTATCCAGAGGTGTGCAGCGGCGAATAATTCCCCAAAATAAATAGCTCTGTAAGTTTTCAATATTGGATGCCGACGAGATTAGTTTTAATGGACTCACCTAGCTGAAGGCGCTCGGTCATGCGTCCGCACCAGATCACGTGTGGGAACACCGTACTCAACTGCCACTGCAATCGCTAGCCAGATTAGATCAGATAATTCTGATATACTGGCAATCGTCAAATACAACTTCTGATCTCCTCGATTCTGTCTTCTGATTTCTCTTGGTGGGTACGAGTTTTATTAGAAGATGTTACTGGTAAAAGCGATGTCAAACACTGAATACCTGTGCCATCTTCAGGTGATCAGGCACACCGACTAAAATATCATCAGTTTGTTCCATAGTTGCAATTCTATGCACAATATTGCCATTCGCCGTGATATATTTTGTATTTCGGATTTTTTCGTACATATATATACTTCATTTTTATCATGTCTGAACACAAACATGAGTTAATAAGGATTAAGATTCTCTCGTTCCCCACATTATAATTAATGACATTCTTGCCTGATAACATCAAACCCTGGCTCTGCTTTACAGAATACCGCCACATTGGTGTGTGACAGTAAATAAATCCATAAAATCAATAGTTCGGTATGCATCAAACATTTCTATTATCATTATTATTTACAAGTAGCCGATGAGTACATAAGTATCGTGAAGAAACCGTTTCGCGCTTCCTCAAAAATGCAATAACAAACAAGTTTTGATGATGTAAGCACAATATTTGTTCAGATCGTGGAACAGAACTGTCGGAGCTCGAGATTATAATTCCTAACACACGGATCTTTCAAAGTTCAACATAGAATAATAAAAATATGATACCTACGGAAAATGAGGAGTGAAGATGCTTGAATTGTATTGTTTTGACATTACCAAGATGTCTTTAACCAATTATTAGTCAATCAACCGAATTTGTTACATCACCTTCCTCCTCGAACCAACCTCCATAGGAATGTGGGCTCGATCAGTTTGTCAGGCGAAATAATATCACTTCGATTTCTGTAATCTGACTGGGAATCACTTACTCATTCGGTGTTTGAACTTCTCACTTTTACAACAATAGACGACCAACATACAGTCAACATCCAAAAGTAGTCTACGAATGTCATATACATCACTAGGTTGTTATTCTTTGTCGGTGGCATTTGTCTCCATACTACAAATTATCTCACAGCAGTGGCTGTAAGTGCATAATCGTAGTCTTGTAGACTAACCATTTCATTGACATGGTTTCAACATTCACATTATTGTTATAAGGCTTTATTTCCCAAAGTTATTAATGAACTGGTGTGTTCCTAACCTTGTGCTTGTTTTAGCAGTCGTAAGTATTGCTAATAATCAACCCATGTAATAAAATATTATTAAAGATTGGCCTGCTGGTTATTTGAGGGAAAAATTGGATGTATTTTGGTCATTTGAAAAGGGTTTCGTTTTGTGACAATAGTGGCAATTTCATAAATTTCTTATGGGCAACCGAAAATGATTGGTTCAGCACGAGTGTACCAGTTATGGATATGTTCTAAACTCAATTCTCTGAAAACATATAGAACCAGTTGTTCTTACTAGTGCTCATAGATGGAGGGTTCGAAAATACTGAGCACAGCAGCTAGTTGTAGGCATTAAGTTAAATCGAAGCTGTGAATCAGTCCGTTTGAAAGTAAGTTTTGAAACCAATACCACTTAAATACTCCGATTAAATATAACGTACTGTACTATATTTACAGTTAATCAAATGCTCATAAGTTGAAAATGTGAATGCTGTTATTAATCATCATCGAGAGTGCAGTTGGTAGCCATGTCTAGTATAACGTTCGGCCAATTTCTAGGATAATAGTATAACATTTTTGTCAGTGTTTCTACAGATGCAACAACGATCCTTTTGGCTTGCCTACACCGATGATTTGTAGAAAATCTGCCATCAAACTAATAAAGTCTGATGGCAGTTACTGAACTGATAGAAAAATTCACCGAAACTATCAGTGTTAGGTAAAGATAACTACAGGAGAACGACAATTCATTTGTGGAGGCAATTTTCAGTCATTTTACATAATGATTTGTTTTCGGTTTCACTGTTTATATAAACCAAATTATACCAACCGAAGTAGCAACAATGCTTTGTGGGGATGTCAAGAAACCATTTTGAATAACTACTCATATTTTTTGTTGAATTTTGACTATTCGAAAGATGTAGTATTGTTTTAAACGGTGAATACTGCTGATAGTCCAGAATACGTCCACGTTTGTTGTCAGCAATTGAAAAATGTTCCGAATAACACTAATGAGTTTGAGTTACACGATTATCTTATAGATCACAGTAGAGAAATGTTTAGTGCATGACATATATGTATACAACCACGACAATGGGAAAAACCAACAAGTGTTAAACTATTGTTTAGTATAAAATGCTTCGCTTAAAACGACACAAGTTTTCGTAGTCTTATGTTGTCATCTGAAACCACAAGGTATATCTGATTGTGAAACTAGTTTAGGAGTGACATATGACCAGTCTAAATAAACACAAAATATTGTCTGTTATCAACGAATACAAACATAGTGTATCGTCTGGCGAACTAGAGCAACCCATCTGTTTTGTTATCAGAGCTTGCAGTTATTTTGAGTATTCACTGTTTGGGACTAAAGAAAGTGTTCACAAAGTTTTGGTTTGACGGTTTCGTTTAATTTTACACTGTTTTTCTCCTATTGGGAGAAAGAGCTAGAAAAGTGGTTTATTCCACAGGAGTAGGCTGCAAACACAACTCACCTCAGCCGACGATTCTTTGTTCGTTTTAAATCACCCCTCAGTTAGCTGTTTTAGGTTTTTATGTTTCTATAGTGGTAAATCGCTTATGAAATTAGTATACGATCGAATATAACACTAATGCACCAATCGTAAAATACCTGAGAAAACAGGGTCGAATACCACACAAAGCTATTACTATTTGATGCCATTTATATTTTTTTCAAAAAGGTAGTGATATCTGTTGGAACATCATAAGCTGCTCGTTGATAAAATCGGACGATTAGCGAAAGATAGCAATAAATTGGCATGTAACTGTTATGTTATAAATTACTATTAATATAACAGCTAACGATAAGACCATATTTTCAAATTCATACCAAATAACCACTGGAAACTTAAGGTTGGAATGAAGGACTATGATCACATGATGAGTTTAATTATAGTCAGCACATATAACAAAACAACAAATAAACGTATCATATATTAGGACATGGAATGGAATTTTTCTCAGAATGCAACACAAATCAGGAATAAACTCAGAAGTATCTTTCAGAGAAGCTCGTATTCAGAAGAGAATACAGAATAAGCTTTGCCTGCTATAGTCAGTCTGAACCGAAGAAAATCTGCCATGATCAAACATTCAGTACTACTTTGAATCAATAGTCTGGAAATTTAGGGAAGCGTTTCACCAATAACTATGTCCTGCATTCATAGTTATGTGAAATACTCGCTATGTATATTTTCACCTTTTAAAACTTAATCTGATTACAATGGCTGGCAGTACTTATAAACGTGGGCAACCAAACTGTTTGTTCATCGTAGAGGAAGGAATGCAGTGTGATGATTGCAAAAAGTGGTTCCATAAGATGTGTACCCCTTCAAGTCCCACCGCATACAAAAGATACTCGAAGCCTTGGCTTAGTATATTTTGCTGTGCAAATAAGACGTTACTACCCTAAGAGGCTATGAGCCTATTAGCTTTGGCCGATGGTGGTTGCGCTGATAACACGAGCACTGACAGTGAAGAATATGTCAGCGTAGTACGTGCTGTTTCGAGGCGCCTCAAACACCTGACTGTGATTGACGGAAAGGTGAAATCTCCGTTAAAATTAACGAGGAGGAAAGTGCCACCTGACATTGACATTGGTAATCATGCATCTCTAGTGGGAATTGAAGATCCGGATAAAACCGTAACCGTTCCAAATAGTCCCAGTGTCCTGAGTGATGAAAAATGGACTATAGTACGGAGAAAAAGAAGCGAAAAGAAAAAATCTGTAGGCAGTACACAGCTGGTTAACAAGTCATTGCTGGACTCCCATTGTGAGTCACAAAATGCACTACCGAAGTCTGATAGTAAGAATGAATTCCACCCTGGCATGACTGAGAAGGAGATCCTAATCTCATCGAATATTATTGTAAGTAAGTTGCTGGAGTCAAACTACCCTTATCCCATAGTTAGAGACGCTGGGCGAATATATTCGTAGTATCTTACCAGATAACTCTAGAAGGGTTAAGGTCAAAACCTGATTAGAATAGGTAGGAGGATCGAGGATAATGTTAAACTCCGACCATGCAGACTCCTTAGGGTAATCCCAGAATCGGAGAAGCAACGTGATCTCTTGTTATGTAGCGCTCTTAGTCGCGACAATTCCGGTATCCGAGTTAGACCTGATATGTCTCTTGAAGATAGAATAAAAAGGAAGAAGGCACTAACTGACCTAGAAATCCGTTGAATAAACTGTGAGGGAAATCTCTGTTTAGTGGGTTTTCGGATGGTCAGTTTTTGGTAGCGAATGCTACTAAAGCCTGTGTGGATAGGCCGTTCTACCTGGGAGTTTTATATACTAACGCTCGTAGTCTAGGTAATAAATTCTATGAACTAGAAGCAATAGTGGAAAAAGTAAGGTCAATCATTGTAGCAGTGACGGAAACTTGGTTGGTCCATGATTTAGACAACTTCAGAATTATCCGGATACCACTACCTAAGGAGTGATAGACATAAATGTAGAAAAAGAGGTGGCCTCCTTTATATATAGCCAATAATATAAACATCCGCTCCTCTGCTAGCGAATCCCACGACAGCGGTACTTGCGAAGTCATTAGCTGTGAATTGGCTATCAGATGTAGTACATTTATGCTCAATGTCATCTATCGCAGCCCAATTTACTTAGCTGATGACCTTATTTTAGAGCACACTCAACTTTGGAGTGCAAATAACAGATACTTGATAATAGGAGACTTTAATGCACCTGATATTAGTTGGACTGAGGTGACCACGGAAGGATTTATAGACTTATTTGATAGTAGGTTCCTGATGACCATAATGGAGCATGCATTGTTACAGCATGTGTCCGAAACCACACGTCTTGGTGCAAAGCAAGGTTCTTCTCTGGTGGACTTGGTAATCACTCATAAGACTGAGGATATTGTCGACCTAAATATTCTTCGACCGTTTGTGAATAGCGATCACGCCGTTTTGTCGTTCGCGTTTAGAATTAGGGCGTGATATATGATCTGGTTACACCCCACCCAAATGTATGGAGAGCTAACATATCAGCTATTCAGCAGTGAGCTGCTAAGACATTGGTCTGTAGATACTAGCTTATCAGTTGAAGAAGCATGGTCTGTATTTAAAGGTAGGTTAAGTATAGTTACGACCTCGTTCATACTGTACCTGGTACCACGATGACTGAATAACAGTCCACCACGGATAACTAAACCAGTCAGGAGACATTTTAGAAGAAGGAAAATGCACCGGATTATGTTCATCTCTACTAGCTTAGAACAACACAGATCCAGTTACTGTAAGGTTAGAAATGCCTGTAAAGCGTTATTACGTAAGACTAGACAACTATATGAAAAACAATTGGTTAGGGGTTGTAGATATAGACCGAAACGGTTATTCTCGCATATAAAAAGGCAGACTCAGAGAAGCGATGGAATTCCATCAATTTTGATACAAGGGACTCCGTTAGTCTTGATGAGAAACGACACCTAAAAAGCTGAAGCTTTATCAGAATATTTCAGTAAAGTATTTTTCTATCAGTAATGAAGAACGGTCAACGATTCATTGTGATTGTAGCGGCTCGTTGACGGACCCTGTAGTCATTGAGAAAGGCACTGTCTTAAAGCTACTTCAGCATTTCAAACCCTATAAGTATAGTGGTCCTGATGATATTCATCCTAGGATTATGAAAGCCATATAAGATGTAATTGCTGAACCTTTGGCGATACTGTTCGACATGTCTCTGTAGCAGTCCAGACTGTCCAGGGACTGGAAAGACGCTATAATAAGTCCGGTGTATAAGGTTGGGAGTAGGGACTTAGTTAGTAACTATAGACCCGTTAGCTTAACTAGTGCAAGCAAAGATTAGGCTGCGGCAAAAGGCCGGAATATTCTTGTAGATGTGATCTTCATAGATCTAAGTAAGGCGAAAGATTATAGGGTGTTATGGTTTATTCGTAGGTCTTTCCAGTACTTAGATGTGAAATGTTTAGACTATTATACCCGATTTATGTGTGACCACATTTGGAACATGAGATTCAAGCAGCGAGTCCTTGTTTTATTTATGAAGCAGATATGCTGGAAAGAGTCCAACGATAAGGCACTAATATGGTAAAAGGTCCATCTGACCTATCTTATGAAGACAGATTGAGACACCTCAACTTATTTCCGTTATCTTACCGTAGAATACGGGGTCATTTAATATTGGCTTGTCATATCCTGAACGATGACCCTGGTATTATCTTTTGCTTCCGTATAGGACGGATCATTTGAGAGGACATTCGAAGAAAGTTCAAACACAGAGATCAAATCGTTTACGTCTGGAATTTCGTTTCTCGCACCGAGTAGTTAATTACTGGAATTCTCTACCGGAACACGTAACATCAGCACCTTCCGTGGACATATTCAAAACGAGGTTGGAACTCCACATTATTACAAATTTCAAGGATTAATATATGTCGATAGATCTCCTATCCTTATTATTGAGACTGAAGGCTAATCGCACTCATACCGACTTGGATCTAGTAAACTATAGTTTACGTAACCAAATGAACGAAATACGGGTTGGTTTTAAGAAACGTAATAAATGTAGCTAAGTAGTCGATCTATGAAAATGGACTAGGTCGTTGATGGTTTTTAAAACACATCGTTGACCATTTTTGTAGGTCACATGTGCATTTGCCGCCTTACTTGAGAGCCGCTCATAGAATGGTTTACTTGCTTATGAAAGAATAGCCTACGCATACTTATATCGATTAAGAATTAATGGATATTTCGCAAGCACACGGTGGAGATGTTGTCAATATCGCGAATTACTTGCTAAATGATTTAAAGGTTCCAATCGTGCATCGTATTCATTATTTGTTTACAGAATAGCTATCAGATCTGGGAAGAGCTAATTTCAAAATGTACCAAATTCCATTCAGCTTTAAAGTAAAATTTCTTATTTCTAAGCATACCTTCTAGAGTTGCGACTCAGGCGTCATCTGCATTTTTGGATACATTTCAAAAGGTGGCGGATCTGGCTACAAAGACGCTTGGAGGCAGCAAAGAAATCGGTGCTTGTCTGACCCGTTATTGTATGCGCCAAAAAAGCTTAGAATCCAAAGTAAAATCCATGGGAAAGTAAGCACGGTTCAGCTCGTCATGTATTTATCTTTATCCAAATGCTCTTTTGGTGTGGAAAAATTAATTTATAGCATTGTACATTTAAACTTATGTTTACTATTTACAGCCCTGATTTGCCAGAAATGTTTTTCTATCATGGTCTGAGGTTCTTGGTTTAAATCCCAGTGATTCCTTAATCTCGATGGTATGGTTGCACGTTATGGAACTTTAGTCAATGCTTAATATGATTGTTTTAGTAGTAGGATTTTAGAGATTGTCTTCCAGTCTAACTGTTTTCAAAACGCCGTGGTCTGTCAATCCGTAACATTTTACTACATACCTCCTAATAATATGCTGCAAATTTTCTTTGCACGGACAAACACTCATAAGTAGATATTTGCTCACTCTTCAAATTATTAGGTTTATCTATTTTTGGCCGGTAAATTGACCTCTTTCCAGGGACTGATTAAATTAAATTACTGGTCTAGAAACAATTAATAGGGACATCTAATCGATAGATAAGGTTGTGCACGTGCTTAACGCGTATATCAGTTCATAGAACGGTAATATTCCGGTATAGGCTGCAGCTCTTCCGAACATAATACAAGCACAGTCTACAAATGAACGTGTGTTTCCAGACAAAATTTTTGACTCAGTGACCTTGAAATATTTTACTCTGCCGTATACAAAGGATATGCAATCACTGAGTTTATTTTTTTAACCTTTTGCCTTTATAGAAATTTGTGTACAGTTGGACCGTAGGACGATAGCGTTGTTATTCTTACATACCTATCATATTTTTCTCTAATCTTCCGTATTTTAGTCATCTGGTCACTAGTCTTGCCAACCCTCTCAATTCGAAAGTAGATGAGTGGAAACGTAATCTGTGTCAGTTAGAAAAAGACCGAACTCGTCAAACTAAAAGAGTGCGTGCGGAATTGAAGAAAGCCCTTTCTGAAGCACAAAAGTGGGAGAAGAAGGCCGCTAAAGTTGGTATTACTGGTGGTAGTGGTGTGGGACCCGGTGTAGGCCATGGTGTTATACCTCCTGCAAAATACATATGCTCCAATTCTGAATCAAATGCAATTAGTTTACAAACTGCTAAGGCTGCACGTGAAGTCGGAATCAAGAAGGAATTAGTTGAAAATACAGAGAAATCTGCGATGCGTTTATTGCTACTTGAGGAACGAAGCCGGTTTTGTTTTTTCGTCTCTTGTCTTCTTCCAATTCTTGTAAGTGGAATTCCAACGATCTAGAGTCAGTAGTGACAATATTTATGTTGTTTTGCAATGTTCATGTTACTTTGTCCGTGAATAACTCAGTCTCAATCGCGACATTCTCTGACCGATAAATGAAAGAAAATGTAAATCTAGACGGTTGGTCGATTAGAACGTATATTTTCATTCATAGATTTATAAATAAAGTTAGGAATATAGAATAATATTGGATTTTAACAATTACTATCGCTAGAAATTTGGATTGTGTTTAAAATATGTAGGTGTTTGAAGAATACTAACAAGGAATATTATACTAATACAGGCTTATTCCGAGTTTTCCTAAGATAATAAGGAAGAATTAAACCATCTCCAGAACGGTCGTCTTATATGTTTATATTTGCTTTAAGTATTAACCAATGCATAACTTAAATACGTACGAATAATGCTTCTGTTTTAATTTTCCTGTTTGCTTTTGTATACTTAAGCACAAATTTCTCATAGTCCTGTTTCAAATGACTGAACAAGGTAACTGACTGATGAATATTTGTGTCAAGTTGTGATTAGTAGCTGGTGTGTATACCTCTTCCTGTTTATCATCATCTAAATTAAGTAATGCTTTTTGTTGAGAAATATTGAAAACTATATTTTACTGTACGTAATAAATTTACTTAGAAATTATGCGTATTATTTCTGTTAGTTTAATGTTCTGCTGGTTGTGTGAGATGGGTGTACTTCTCAAAACAATTTCGTCTTGTAAGTAGGTAAAAATACAAGCTAGTAATAGTTTACAAGCCTCCCTGCTAAGCTACAAACTACACTTCTCGATAGCGTTAATACTACTCATATGTCATAGCGTTAGCGAATAGAAAGGTGTTTAAACCCTCAACCTACACCTGGCATGCGGTTAGTGTAATGTACCAGGGTTTTTTATAAAACATAAGAAAATGTGAAACTTTTTATGAAAGTGCAGCGGTCAGTTTTCAAATATCAACTGTTAAATTTTTCGTTGATATCTCACAATTTAAAAGTGTCACTTTCTTTTTGTCTTAGGAGTGTCAATCAAGCATGTTACATGAAATAGCCACTATGGATGAACTTATTAAGACCCTAACAAAAGAAACTGAGTTTCCAGATCAGTTGGTTGAGGACGTAGAGTCTATTGTACTGAGGATGGGACGACGTGATTTTTCTGCTTCTTCTCGAGGTAGCAGTAAAATCATGTCAGTTTTCGTACCAGATAGTGGAGATAAGATGAACAATATAAATGAAGTTTTAGGAGGTTTGCTCATGACTAATGGTAATCGAAGCTATGTCAATTCAAGCGATACGGAGTCTGGTCGTCACGGTGCCGACATAATGTCATCATATCCAATTTGTCGTGACTTAGAAACGGTCGGCCGATGCAACTCTGTATGTGACAGTGTTGATATTTCTCTATGTGGAGCCAGTTCACATAGTGGCAGTGGGGGAAGTAATTGTCCATCCCTTTTGTCCCCGCACGTGGTAATGTCGCTCATTTGGGTAGTCGTGAATCAAGTCTTATTTCTGTGGATAGTGCAGCCTCAGGAAGTGGCAATGCAAATTCTACATACTCTATTGGAACTTCAAATACAAACATACCACATTCTGATCCTGTAAGTCTTTAAGTGATGGTGTTTTTTCAGTAACTACTTTCTTGGTTAATGAGATATTTGCACTTGGAATTTACTGTTTTAGTTGTTTTAAGCAAAGTTAGCAAATAATACGCTTTGTAATTAGTTTGGTAAATCTATCAATAACTTTGTAACCATGTAAAAAAACCTACCGATTGCGTTATGACTATGGAGTTTTATAGTTTTGGTTTTCAGTCAGGTATATTCCTAACACTTATCAACAATTTCATCGCAAATAACTTTAAAGACTCACTAACCTGGCATAGACAGTGAATTATTGTAACCTACTTGTCAATCTCTAGTTCTTATGCTTCGCTTTGAGTCATGTGTATTAGTTTGTGAAATTTCTCAACTCCTCAAACTGAGTTAGGTTTGCTGGGGTCTGAACCTTCAGTCTTATGACTGACAGTTCAAACCTTGCTTCAGCTGATAAAGTTTAAAAAACCGAGTAGCACAGAAAGATTTATATTCTTAGTCCAATGAAATTCATTTAATTTCGTATGTGAGTTTGCACATAGTAGCTGGTTGATATTGGTTTCGAATGAAAAATGCTATCCGGAAATCTTAGACTTCAAATCTAGTTTATTTCAATGTGTAACACCTTTTTGTTTAGCATAATCAATGACATTTTTGGAAATAACCTTCCAGACGTCGTTTTTTGAAAATTACATTCTCTTCACTTGTATACCTATTTCATAAATTGCCTGACTACTGTCCGCAGCTTTTTGTCTGCATTCATTTAAAAAATGTGCTATTGAAAAAAACAGTCTGGATTTGCTGCTTTATATATGATCGTAGTATGCAAACTATTTAACTATAGTGAACACAAATAAGACCATGTAAATACTTTCTTCATTGCCTAAAACTTTTCAATCTACCAAATCGGCCGGTGTTTACACTAAAGTCAACAAAAAATGTAGAATTTGAAAATGAAAAAATAAGTACTTTTGCATTTTGTAAATACATCTATGTATATGTATATTCATGATGTTCAGTGTAAAAAGTTATGGTCACTTTTTATTAAGAGACAAAACATTTTTTAACGCTTGTGTCGGGAATGATGGATGTTTTAAAAATGAGAAATTCTTTTATTTTATTCTAAAACTTCACCGTTGTTTTCATGTGGCACATAGTTCAATTTAATGCTACTGTACTGGTAATACATGAATGCGTCTTGACTGTTTAGTGATTCAATTAAATTGATTATTATTTTCTCTCAAACTAATTAGTTGTAACAGAAACTTCCTACCAGTGCTCCCAAGTATATATATATATATATATATATATATATATATATATATATATATATATATATATATATATATAGGTTACAGTAATAAAGCCTTCAAGCAAAATAAATTTAAAAAAACCCATTGCATTACTGAATAAATTATAAAGGTCATTCAAGCAGAAGGTTTCTTTCGAAGCAACCTCTTTCTAATCTTCTATAGACTCATTAAGCCAACATAAATGTAATTGTACAGCTTTATTAAATGAACTAGATCTGGTCTTAGTTAGGATTTATGTTGGTTAACAATATCGTATCATATTGCATAGTGTGCTGAAATCGAGGCGAAAACTTCGTTAATTGGGATTACCATTACTGGTTACTACGCAACGCTCAGTCTTTACGCGGTGGCTCAGTAGTTAAGACGTCCTACTTCATTTCGTCCAGTCGAGTAGTATCATTAGCCTTTACACTTAAAGTACCAATCACATCCAAGTACTTAGTAAGTGAATTAGTCAAGAAAAGTATGTGTTGAATTTCATAAAAGTTTGTATACTGTACATATTATATCAATTATACTCTATCCTAATTAATAAGAGATGATGATAATATTTATGGAAGGAGTAAAGGGAATTTCACATAACTTTGTAACAAACTAATTTCAACAGTTTCTTAGGATTATATAATGTCTTTTTTCTTCTTTTCGAGAACATCTTAACTATTGTTTGCAAATTCTGTTATTTACATTGTTAACTAAGAAGTAATATCAAGGCTCGTCATTGAAATAATTCCCACGACAATTCAAAAATCCACTGTGTGTATGCACGCTAATCGGTAGTTACTTAGATTTAATAAGTAAAATTCAGGTATTGTAAAGATATTTTTTCACTATTATCTGAGGACATTGATCTACGATTACCACCACTGATGCTATCATTACTACTACTAGCATTAATAGTAATAGTAATGATAAATAATACCATTATTTCACACAACATACAAATGACCTTAAACTGTAATATTTTTTGTTTTTTTCAATAAACTGTTAGGTAATTTCTTTATAATAAACAACTTATGGTCTGGTAACTCGTCTAACGTTGAGAAGTCATTACTTTATGCTCTGTATAATTTTTGAATTATTTTTATCGTTAAAAAATACAGTTTTAGGGCTGTATCCATTTATACTTTTTACTGAACTATTTTAACCAACGTATACTTGAGTTGTTGGCCTATGTTTTTCTGCTTCAAGCGTATTACAGTCAACCAAAGCACCGAAAGTTTTGGTGTATATATATATATATATATATATATATATATATATACATATATATATATATATTTAAGTAACAAGGACGATTATGTATTGCAAGTTGTATTTTAATAACAATGATTATTTGTGTTCATCAGTCTTTAGCTTATCACTCGAATACATTACTTTAATGGTTAAGAGTATCTTTGAAAGGAGCACTCCATACATAGAGCCTATAAGTGGGTATTTACATCGTTGTAACTCATTAGGGTATGCATTTGACGTTCATCAATTTGACTATCTACTACCTATCAAGGTTTTCATTGTAACACTGTCACCAGAGTTAATGCAATAATTACTGTTCATAGCGCTGCTCATGAGGGTAAACATGAGTTGTTATATTATTATAATTACTAACAGTTCTCTGTGAATAAGTTTACTTTTTGCATGTTTACTGGTCAATTAAAATAATTCACTGTAGTTAATTTTACAACGAAATCATCTTTGGTAAATTGGTAAAATTTTAATGGTAGCTGATATTTTTTCACTTTATTATTATTATTATCACTATTACGGCTTTTCGTCTGAATTTTAACTAAAAGTTTCACAATGGTTTTTATGGATTTTTAGTTTAATTAAATTGTCTGCGTACATATAAACCACTCTGAATAATATATGATATAGAATAACTAACCGTTTGTGTGTATAGTCTTTCAAACTCACCTGTGATTGATGCTTTTTACCATTTAAAATGTACAATTTCATTATGTATTTATACGTTGTCAATCAGTATATGTGTATTTCATACATTCTTCAAATTACTTATAAGTTTGTCACAGTTCTTAATATCTATCAGTTTATCATTTGTATTCTATGATAATAACATGTACTATAGAACTTTCAATAAGAATAATTATTTCTGGATTGAAAAAAAGCATGACAATATAGTTGCCAATGTAAATTAATATTAGTGGCACAACAGTTTTTATGAGATGAGAACTAAATTGTCAGCTGTGACAAGAACAATTGTAATCGAAGGTTGATAAGTTAGACGGAAAACAAGCAAGCAAACAATGTAGTAAACAAAGACACTGTAAGTTATAATGCATAACTTCAAATTGATATGATTCTTTTATAATTCAATGGCCATCTAAAAATATGTTCCTTACGCTACAACACTATTCGTGAGTTTGAGATTCATGAGCAACAACCACTTTTGATCTAGAACAGGAAGGAACGCTTGTTTTGTTTGCACTGATCAATAAATATCTCCGTTGGTGAATTACAAAGTTAATGTAATCTTGTGTATGTGTAATTGACTTTCATGGGTAAATGTAATAAGTCAAGCTTAACATCGAAAAGCTTCTAAAAACAGACATTTTTATTGAATTAAAAGTTTCGTAAGCTGTCATCGTACGGTTTCGCTTATTTACTTTGGCCTTATGATGACTTATACACGTTTTCTTTTATTTTCTACAAAGAAACCGTGTGATTGAAGTCGAAGACATCAGTAATTTACTCTTCTCTTACATTGAGATATTTGTTTAAAATACACTTATTTCTCTTGTAAACTATTTAATTGATTTTTATTGAATTCTCTCAGGTCAGTCCATAGCCGTGATGTCAATAGGTTTTATATTTGTAAATTAAATTTTCATTGAAGTGATTGTTTTCAAATATTATTTTGTTGTTGATGGAAGAACTTGATTTTTATGAATATTCAAACTGAATTCTCCTGTGCTAGTCTTTACCTTATAAAGTTTCATTGACAATACCTTTTGGTCTCATTCATCCATCAAAATTAAGGCATAAAGTCACCGACTTTTGTGTGTGTCATTTGTTCAAACTATGTTAGATCCTTCTCATTTATTGTGATTTATGGGGGTTCTTACTTCTCCGTTATTGATAATATTCAAAAAATACAACTTCATGCAGTTAATAGGAAATATTGAACCGATTGAACAAGTATTCAAATATTAGTGCAGATGATGAAACTGGGATTTAGGCATATTCAACTGACAAGTTGAAAATGGGACAAAACCATGTCTTGAATTCGAAAATATGAGTTCTTTGCTTAAAATAATATTAGTGTACTCTACGTTACCACAAACTTATGCCTTTATAGGTTTTTTACGTTTACCAATGAAGTAATGATATGGTTTGTATCTTCGTCTAGGTAATCTAGGAAAAAATCAATCATTATGACAACGGTGTAGGTTTTTGTGGTAGACAAAATATAAAATATTAGAATTTCTGAACACTTCGATCGTTCACTTGTATCTTGTCATCGATATGTCGTTTTTGTGTCTATACAGTAGTAGTTACATTTTAGCCTGTTGTATTATCTTCGTTAGTCAGTCATCTACAACGTAGAACCAGGGACATATATGCATTGTTCCGAATTTCCATACTTCATTAGCACGACAAGATGAACACTAAATTCATAGAAGCCATTACTTCAATGGTAGTAATATATAAAACAATATTGCATACAAGGATATGATGCAGGGAGAAAGAATTAATTCCTAGAAAGAAAGGTATAAAGTAATCTCATGGTTTAAAGGAAGACAAAAAGTGTATACACCTACTCCATTGTGGTCGCTTCTGAGTCATGTCACCCACAGTTTCCAACCACTGGTTACGGTAGACACACGGACCCCAACCAAGTAGTCTGCATCTACTAACATGGCTCAGACCAGAAGTTAGTGACCTTATGGACTGATGCCACATTCTGGTTTGTCTGCCCTTAACTTTCTTCCGTCGGTCTCCAACACTAGTCAGCATTGCACCCTGGGGTAATCGGTGGTCGGGCAAGCGTAACATGTGGCCCGACCATCTCAGTCGATGAAGATTCATAACCTCATCAACTGATTTGCCATCATTCTCCGATACCCTGAGTCTAACCTCCTCATTGCTTACCCGGTGGACCTTTTACCTTTTTCAACTGTGCATTTTATCCTAGCTATTTGTTGATTGTTCACTGGAATAAGTGTAGGATTCCATAAGACACATCGTGGTCTGGACAATAGAAAAAAAGTCATACCATTTGATCGGGAAGTTTTTTAAAGTCTAGGTTTTAACTCATATCTTCCACTAATATTGAAGGTTTGTAAAAGCTGTCTAACTAAAAGAAAGTTGATATCACATACTCTGATACTAACCAAAAAAAATCTGGGAAAAATAAGGGGCACTGAATATGTTTCTCTTCTAGTTTGGTAACCCTCAGCACTGCGGATCCAGAGCATGGATAGGGATTGAGTCATGGACCTTCAGTTCTCATGAAAATCATATCTCATACATCTAATAATCATCCTGACTGTCAAATTTTAGATAGTGGGGTTGACAGCTTTAGGTGATTATCTGTTCGTTATCCGGTCATGACTTCACTTGCTAAGATTTTGACAGCCATCTAGTATGGTGGGTCTCCGTACAAGAACTGTATCCTGTGG